ACAGAGGGCAGTATGTTCCAGTATATCTGCAGAGTTTTAAGTGTGAGGTGGTTCAGTACTCTGGATAGCTCCCTGCTGATCTTCCTCAAAGCCCTAACTTGACATTAGAACTTTCTGGTGTTGGCAAACATGTCGGCAAAGTTTAGTCTCCAAAGATAGCATGATGTGATGAAAACACTACCGGACAGTCCCAGATTAAATTATGAACTACCATTTTTTCTACTAGTTATTTGCATTACTTACATTATTGAGTTTCTGAGTTTTAGCTAAAAAAATGGAAACCATGAGGCACACTTCACAAAATTGTTGAATTCAATGGCATCATGTTTGTGGGAAGTCATTATGTTCACGTACTTCACAAATAGGTGTTTGGCACCTACCATGTACCAGGCACTGTTCTAAGTACTGGAGAAACAGCAGCAAAAGGAGAGACACTTTATGCCTGCATGATGTTTACAATCTACTGTGGGTATGAATATAAAAGTAAAAGATTTTCTAACATTATCACTCCAAGCAAATATAAGTGCTATGAATTTCTCATACAGACTCTTGTTGGCCTGTAGCATGAATTTTAATAGATTATGTGGTGGAGACACGATGGGTTCAAGCAAGGTGGAGGGTCAGATAAGAAACACCTATATGAAGCCAAAATCCTCAAAGGGCAACATCCAGATTAGGTAAATCAGAAAAAATAAAATTCACTTTACATAAAGATATGCAGAGGATAAATATCCTACATTGTTCCTGGCTCCAGGTAAAGTGAGAAAAAGAATATATACAAATATATACACACACACACACACACACACATATATATATATATATGTATATATATATATATAAACTCGCAGAAGTCTCATCTGCCAACCCACATACAAGCTAGTTTAAAGCAGAATTATTACTACATGGGTTTTATGAAAAACTCCAAGTTGGCCGGGTGTGGTGGCTCACTCCTGTAATCCCAGAACTTTAGGAGGCCAAGGTGGACAGATCATGAGATCAGGAGTACACGACCAGCCTGACCAACATGGTGAAACCCCGTCTCTACTAAAAAAATACAAAAATTAGCTGGGCATGGTGGTGCGTGCCTGTAATCCCAGCTACTTGGGAGGCTGAGGTGGGAGAATCGCTTGAACCTGGGAGGTGGAGCTTGCAGTGAGCCGAGATTGTGCCATTGCACTCCAGCCTGGGCAACAGAGCAAGACTCCGTCCCCCCCACCCAAAAAAAAAAAAAAAAAAAAAAAAAAAAGAACTACAAGTTGAAGTTTTAGGGTGGTCTTGAGGTATTAATATCTCTAGGTAAAATATGTTTGAAGAAATAAAAAGTATGGAGAGGGTCTACAGCTTTTTAAAACTCTCCTGTAAAACTGTAAGTGGCATGCAATTTCTAGAACTGAAATATAAATAAGAAATAAATTGAATTAGAAATGCAATGAACAAAATAAACAACACATTAAACCCACTTCTGAGAGAATAAGTGAACTGGAAGACAGATCTGAAAAAGCAGGATAGAGAAAGTAAAGGGTGGGAAATATTTTTTAAAAAGAGATTGAGAAATGTGGAAAACAGTGAGAAACTTTAAAAAATATCCAACTAGAATTCCAGAAAGAGATACTAAAGAAGATGTAATAAAGCTATGTTAGAAGAGACTGGCTGAGGATTACCCAGAATTTATGAAAGATGTCAATTTTCAAATTCTGGAAACGTAATATATCACAAGTTAAATAAATAAACATAAATTTATATCTATACACAACATAGTTAATCTATAGGATACCAAAGATAAAGAGGACTTCTAAAAGCAGTTTTAAAAGGCAGATTAAAAACAAAAGATATAACAACTAGATTCATAGATGAAATTTTAACAGCAGCAAAGAAAGTAAAACATGGAATAGCATTTTCCCCCTGAAGGTGCAGGGAAAAAAAGTAACTAAACAACGAAAATCCTATATCTACTAATATCTTAAAAAAGAGGGAAAATAAGTTTTTTTCATTTCTTTACTTCCAACAGAGTGAGGTTTAAAGAAGTTTTAAAGCTGCATTTATGGAAAAGAAAAACGATACTAGGAAAAAGATTTGAAATGTAACCATAACAAACAATGAAACATTAAACATGGGGAAACCTAAATAAAACATAGTTGTATAAAACAATGAAATCACTATGGAATTATAAAATCTTGATGAAGATAAAATACCGGAAATTAAAATAAAGAGGTATTATCGAGGCCAGGAGAGAATAATCTTTAATTAAAATGGTCTAAGATCTTTCACTTGAGAATAAGACAAACATATTAAAAATATAATTTGTTGTTTTAAATAATGTATTAAAGTTTCTAGGGTGCTCACCAAAGAATAGAAATATAGCTCATATTCAAATAATCAAAGGAAATAAAAAGAGATAGGGTGAGAAAAAATACTAGACAGAATAAAATAATGTGGTAGCAATTAGTCCAAATGATTTCAGCAATCACAATGAATGTAACTATTTATCACACAAAAGTTATATAAGAACCCCATAGAGAAAATTATAAACTCTTACTAAAAGATATTAAAGGACATTTAAATAAATGCAAAAATGTGCTATGTTCATGGTAAGGGGGACTCAATATTATAAATATGTCAGACCTTTTCACATTGACCTATAGGCTTAAATATCTATAATCAAAATCGCATTTTTTTTTTGGTGGAAAATACAAGCTGATTATAAAAAGTTTAGTAGCCTCCTCCCCTCTTATCTACCAGAGATATATTCCAAGATCCCCAGTGGATGCCTGAAACTAGAGCTATTACTGAATCCAATATACAATACATTTTTTTCTTATACCTACATACCTATGATAAAATTTAACTTATAAATTGGGCACAGTGAGAGATTGACAATAATTAATAATAAAATAGAACAATTATAATAATATACTTTAATACAAGTTATGTGGGACATGGTGCAGTGGCTCATATTTATAATATCAGCACTTTAGGAGGCTGAATCACTTAACCTTAGGAGTTCGAGACCAGCCTAGGCAACATAGTAAAACTCTGTCTCTACAAAAATAAAAATTAAAAATTAACTGGGCATGATGGTGCATGCCTGTAGTCCCAGCTACTCAGGAGGCTCAGGCAGGAAGATTGCTTGAGTCAAGGAAAAAATTCTAGGTAAAGTATTCATTCATAATAAATAATTAGACATGGTCCCATTTGCAGAAAAAGTACAGACCCTGAGTTCAAGGGAAATGCATGCTGGATGTCCCTTGTAACTCAGTGTGACACACCTGCACTGCTGGGATGTTTCTGTCCATTTGCTTGTTTGTTTATTCATTTCTCTAATGAAGATTTACATTAATAGAATATAAAATAAATGGGTCAATAATTGGTGTATTTATCAGAATATTATGTTTTGCTTTTATCTCATGCTAAACTGTCATATTAATGCTCTGCACGTGAAATCCACTGTTGAAAGAACAGTATCTTTTGTTATAGAACTTTTAAACATTAAAATATTTTTTTAAAAAAACATGCATGGAATGAATGTGGTAGTCACTTTTTCCCTCACACATCTTAGTCACCTACATTCTATCCTTTTAGTAATTAAAAAGAAATACATTGACATTTCGTGCCCTAATAGTGAGGGCGGGAGAGTGGAAAAGAGGTGGAATATCTAGTAGTTCATTATTTTTGGACGAGAATGTATTCGAACTTGACAGGAATGTAGGAGTCAAAAAAATCTGAATGCCAGAGTTTTACTCAAATTGCAGAAATACAAAGCCTGGTGTTTACAGCCTAACTAATAATTTTCCTAGTTTATTATAAATCAAATATTTAACATTCACCACATGCAGTTAAATAATAAATGAGATATAAATTATAACATGGCACAGAGTACTGTGGTCTTTAGTGAGGCATGAATGCAGATGGGGTAGCCCCCAGAAAATACTTCTTCATGACATTGTGATTACGCTGATTGAGATAATTACTGAAGACTGGTTAATATTTTGATAAGATAAGGGGGGTGTCAAGGTTAAGATACAGTGTTAAGATACAGTGATAGGTTGATGGTAGGTTAAACATGAGGTGTTTATGGGAACTAGTGGAACTTCTAGTTTGTCTGTAGTTTTCCTCTCCAAGAATGTTATTGATATTTTGTGTAAGATAATTTTTTGTTTTTTGAGATTGTCCAAAACATTGGAGAAACTTCAACATTCTGGTCACAGCTCACTAAATAGTAATGGCATCTCTTTAGTCCTTGGGAATACAAAAACAAACAAACAAACAAAAAAGAAGACTCTTGCAGTTCCAAAAAGCCTAGCATGTACCTGAGAAGAGAGAGCGACAGTATCACTCTCTGTTTAGAACCACTGGAACATATGATTGAAACGTGTATCACTGAGGATTTTGGACTCCTGAATCAACTGGACTCCCGAATTAACTTAATTTTAGAGGCAATGGAGAATTATTGAAGGTTTTAATGCAAATAATATAATTAGAATTGGAGTTTTACATAATAAAGATTATGATGGTAGTAGGTGGGTTAGAGCATGAGGAAGCTGGAACAGGAGAGAAGTTAAAGATGTTGCAAAAGCTAGGAAGCAGAGCGGTCAAGGCTGAATAATGAACTGGGGTTCACCTGTGTGTGGGGGGGAATGTGTGTGTGTGTAGATGTGTGCGTGTGCATGTGTGTGTGTGCGCGTGTGTGCATTTATGTGCTGTGAGTTGGAGCCATGGGATTGTAGAAATGACAAGAAGACCCACGGAAAGAAGAAGCAATGTGTGAGAGCATTTATGGTGGTCATGAGCAAGGTGTTGATTGTGGTGAGTTGACAAGAAGTTAGGGATGGAGAGAGGATTGAAAGATTGGAAGAAAAGGGAATATTTGAAAGTTTTAGTATAAAAAAGAGTGTAAGAGAGGCGGTAGATGAAAGAGGGGAGTATTTGACCTGGGGTGATGAGGAGGAGACATGGCCACTGCCATCTGGTAAATACCTGCTCCACTGCAGCAAATGGACACGGTCCCCTTGCTGCTCTCCCTTCTTTATTCCTCCTAGGAACATCAGTGTCATGGTGCTATCATCTTCCACAATTGTTGTAACCCAGAAAAACTATGAGTAAATTAAAATTGTATAAGTTATATTCAACTTTTATAAAATGAATTCCATTCTAAGTGCACTAGGCAAGCTTTCTATTTAAAGAAACCTTTGATGGACCCTTTTGTAGTGTGAAAAATTAATCCCAAATGTATCTGTTTTACAGTTCCAAACTCTGGATCCCTGGTTTTCTTCTCTCGGACAGCTAACTAGGTCAAATCATTCTATTTTCAGAGGCCAGCCCCACACAAACACTAATTGGTTTTCACATCTGAAAGGTTGTGTATCAGTTTGTCATTTCTAAATTTACATGATGTAATCCATGTACAAGTTGGGATTTCATACCCTGTGGGAGGAGCAACTGCCACATGCTTAGTTTTCCAAATATATCTAGAGGCACAAAATATTTTAAAAGAGGCAGAACTTCAAGAGCGCCTTTCTCAAGCTCAGATTTTATCAATTTACGGTTTTGGTAGGAATTAGGGAATTCCTATTATCTGTGGAGAACATCTCTGACACAATTTTTCACCTCTAAATGTATTTATAAAGAAAAATAATAATAATTAGAAATAAATACACACACAACCAAAGACCCCATCAAATCAAGCATTACAAAACTCAAACCTATCATCTGTGAACCTCATGACAAAAAATGGAAAAGTAGATGCATCATTTTTCAAGACATTGTTGAGGTGTCCCCGCATCCATACCTTAGTAGGAACTATAGCAAAAACCTTGTACAGATTTTTCAAAACCATAATGCTATACTAAAAAATTACATTTTAACTCTGTCACTTGAATTAATTAGGAAATCCAAAGATCAGAAATTAGTGGTATATTGCAAGGAATTTTGGCAGGAACGATGCACGTAATAAGTCATCAAAATGGTCCCCTTTGGTCACAGATGCTATTTTACCTTGGCTTTGTCTTTCCTCTTTCATTAGCTGCATCCCCTTCTTACAGAATGACTGGCAGGTTAGCATTGTATCATTCTCTTTCAGCATGTTTCTTATACTTGGATGTATATTGGAATCACCTGGGAAACTTTAAAGCATTTTGATGCCTGGGTGTCAACCCCATGGATTTTCGTTTAATTGGTCCTGGGCAATGGTACTTGTAAAAGCTTCCCAGATGATTCTAATGTGCAGTCAAAGTTGAGAACCGCTGTCTCACAAGCTGTTAAACTCATGGCCCTCCTGTACTTAGTCCATCAATTCTTATATCGTTGGGCTCTTTCACTTTAAGCACCTATTGATCGCTGGTCTCACTTCCTCTGCCTTCATATCCACAAGCTGAAAAGTCAGACTTGGGAGAAATAGCCGAAGTTATTCACAGACTGACTTCCAGGAGAAACTGGAAGTCTAGCAAATACAAGTATTGGCAAAATATTTCAAGCTTCTGGAACATGCCACCTCCTATTCCAGAGAAACTCAGAAAGCACAGGAGAGTCCTGAGTGAGAATTCCAGCTTCGCTTACTTATTCTCCATTAACTTGGGAAAGTTGCTTACCTTTTCTATGAGCCTCAGTTTCCTCATTTATACAAATTGGAATACCTACTTCCTAAGGCTGAATTAGATGACTATTTAAAACATTTAAAATAGTGCCCCGGATGTTCAATAGCGACAGCTATTTAAATGGAAAGAAAAGAGAAAATAGTTAAGGCTCGTTTACTGATTACACACCAAGTGAAAAATAGTTACCGTTTATTGATCCAATTTATCTAATTTTTTATTCTTTATCTGCCCAACAAACATTTCTTACTGACTTTATGTCAATCATACTGCTACATACTAAGGATACAGTAATGAATGGAACATACGTAATTTCTATCTTGACACATTTTAAAACTTAGCTAAACGCTTTACCTATTCCTAGAGTTGATTTCAACTAGTGCAAAGATTGAGCTTACTTGGGGGAATGGTACTAACAAACTGACCTTGAATGCACCCTCACAGCAAATCCTTAGGGAATGCCACGTTGTTAAGAGAAACTTGCACCTAGCAGACAGACAAACCCTTATCAGAGTTCCATAACAGTCAGGAAGGGCCAGAAGACTATAAAACACTTTATAAGAATATCAAAGGGAGCACATCAAAAAAGCTGATGGGTTTTTTCACCCAGCATGTAGTTTTTTTTGTTGTTGTTTTTGTTTTTTTTAAATTAGTAGTGGTATACATCTCTAGATTCTTGAAGGCTAGAGAAGCTCTGTTCCCTCCACCCTTCATTTGCCTACCTGGGACTGCTGCTGTGCCTCCTATTCTGTGTAGCTCTCCATGTATTGTACATTCTGTGACTTACCTACATTTTTGGAACTATATTCTTTGCTTGGTTCTGCTGGCATCTTTAGATCAAGTACTGTCACTACTATGACAATAGTACCTCTCCTTATAACAACTCTAAGATCTGGTATTATTATCAGTATTTTCATGTGAGATTTAAATAACTTGACAAGGTCATTGAGCTAGCACATGGCAAAGCCAAGATTTAACCTCACATCTGTCTGATTCCACAGCTTATCCTCTTAACCTCTGTCTCAAGTGGACAAACCTCAGGTGATTGTGCTTTAGAAATATCAAAATCTGGCTGTTCATAGAAATAGTTTTAAAAGCCACAAGTAGAGAATAAGAACAGCAGATAGAACTGGAAGATGATGATGTGACCAAATCCAACGTAGTCTTGGCTTATGGGCGCTTTTGAAATTATGTGAGAGACTAAAATCCAATAAAAATGGTGTCCAGTTTATGTGGTTATCAATCAAACCTACTGATACTTAATTTCATGACATCCTATAGATTAAAGACTTCATGAATAAGAGTCCCATCTCTTCATAGCTGCAGCTGTAACTCTTTTGTCAGATCGGGAATATAATAACTACAGCTAAAAAAGCAACAATTGCAATTTGTAGATTGTATAGAAACCCTTGCTAACTCCAGATAATCTTTTCCCACTTAAGAACTTTTACTCTGATAATGGAGTGTATGAGTGTGCCTGTATATGTAGGTGTGGGTGTGAGTGTGCATGTGTAACTGGGCCATGTGCAAATGCTTTGGTTCTCATGTGGATGGAGACAGATTTTAAACTAGTCTTTTCTGGTCTTCCATGGGTTGGAAAGTATGCGCTCTATAGGGTATCTATGAAGCTCACAGCGACTGCCTTCTTTGCTCCCCACCTAGAACGGGGGCCCCTGACAGCCATGTTTATATTAATGAAATATGATCCCATTCCCACTCCAGCTACCCATGCCTTTTGCCATATGGCTTTGCAGTTCTTCCCACTAAAAACCAAGTATATTTTTCTTCCTGCTGATGTTGAAGTCAGCTGTGAAACTTGCCAGTGGAATGTTGTCAGAGGATATAACTTGAGCAAAGGCTTTAAATATGCATGTAAACTTGGGCTTGTCCTCTTGAGTTACTAGCCTTTGTCTATGAGAAGAATATACCACAGGTAGTACATTTTTCTATGTAGGTGTCCAAGGAGGGTGAGAGACACAAGGAACAGACCTGAACACAACCTGTAGTTCAGAGTCAAGCTCATCCAAAATGAGCCCACAAACAAGTGAGCAAGAAATTAATGCTTATGATTGCACACCCCTGAATTCTGGGATGGGTTATTATACGGAATTATTATAGCATTATATGACAGATACTTTTCGCCTTGAAACTTAACATTTAAGCTGAGAGACAAAGAGACTATCTATTGGGCACTGGGCCATGTAAATGGCAGAACTAGCTATGAAAGAATGTTGATTTCTTTTTCTCTTTTTCTGACTTACCTTTTTGCTTAATCTTTTTGTTTTTGCTTCCTTTTTCATTGAGGTAAAGTTCACACAGCATAGAAATAACCATTTTAAAACTAGCAATTCAGTGGTATTTAGTACATTCACAGTTTTAAGACCATCACTTCTAATTCCAAAATCTTTTCATCAGCCCCAGATAAAACTGGATGACAATTAAGCAGTTACTCCCAATTTCTCCCTCCTACCTATCCCCTGGAAGCAGCCATCTGCTTTTTGTTTTTATACATTTGCCTATTGCTATGGACTGGGGTGTGACCCTCCTCAAATTCATATGTTGAAATCTTAACCTCCCATGTGACTGCATTGGAGAGAAGGCCTTTAAGGAGATAATAAAGGTTAAATGAAGTCATAAATGTAAAGCAAGCCCTGATCCAGTAGAGTTGGTGCCCTTATAAGAAGATGAAGAGACACTAGAGCTCTGCCTGCCGTGTAAGGACAGAGAAAAAAGATGGATTTCTAGAAAACAGGAAGAGAACCCCCACTGGAACCATGCTGAACCTGATCTTGGACTTCCAGCTTTCAGACTGTGGAAGTAAATTTCTGTTGTTTTATGTACCTAGTATATGGTATTTTGTTGCGACAACCTGTTTTATCAACGTGTTCATTGGTTGATGGACATTTGGGTTATTTCCACCTTTTGGTTTTTATAAATATTGCTCTATAAACATTTGAATACAAGTATTTTTTAAGTACCCATTTTCAATTTCAGGGTATATTCCTAGGAATGGAATTTCCTGGGAAATGGATCATAAGGTAATATGGGTCATATGGTAATTCTTAGAACACTGAACTTGTGTTGCTCAGATCCTCAAAGCTGTTTCCTGGTTTCTACACAGGAATTCTTGCTTGGATGCCATAAAATAGCCTCAGAATACTTTTAATAAATCCCTTTTGTTGCTCTAAAATAGACGTGTCTTACTTCAGCTAGGTTAATACTTGATACTTGAAACTAGAGGACCTAGGCTAACAGATAATAAAATTTCTAATTTTTAGTCAAAATATAAGAGAAATGGGCTGAAAACTCCTCTTTCAAAGTTTTTCAGAGGGGTGATCAAACCCTGTGATAGTAATCAAATCAGTTGACTATCTTGATAAGATTCTGAGATAAGACTTTACTGTGAGATTTGCTTATATTACCACTCACCTTTGGGACAAAGCAGCATAGGACCTTGCATTTAGAGCATATTCCAATTCGAAACGACTTCTTAAAGCTGCCACATGACTCCGGCCAGGTCCTCCCCGGCTCACCAGGCAATCAGAAGAAGAAGAAGGTGAGAGAGAGCCACTGCTGTTACTTGATGCTGGAGACATCAGCTGAGTGGAGGAGGGGTAATTTTAATTGTTTAATACTTCCAACAGGTGTGAAGACATAACATAAAATACGGATTTAACTTTCTATTCCAAGGTTTCCCATATTTTAATTTCTATTCACTCAGCTTGCTTCTGGCTTTTCCTTTCAGGAAAAAAATCTAATGGCAACATCTGGCTAGCTTAATTTACTTTTTTGACTCAGTTCTGTGCTGAGAGCTGGCCTGTTAAATTTATGCTCATCTTTCTAAAAACAGTAGGCCCAAGTCAGATTCATAAAATATATTTAGAAGGTTATTATTCAATGATCAAAAGATTCTTCACATTTTTCACTATGGCAATAAGATTTATGGCAGAGTTCCTTTAAATCATAGCTAAAATTTTTCACTTTACATGAAATTATTCCCTTCACATAAAATGAATTTACACACTTTTCTAAGAATACATCAATTTTATAAGATGAAAAACGCTTGAATGTGTGGCAAGTATTTTCCCAGATTGAACAGACCACTCTCTTTGCCACATGATAGTTCTTCAGATGTTTAAAAACACCTGTTGGACTCGGCTGGGTGCGGTGGCTCATGCCTGTAATCCCAGCACTTTGGGAGGCTGAGGCGAGCGGATCACAAGGTCAAGAGATAGAGACCATCCTGGCCAACATGGTGAAACCCAGTTTCTAATAAAAATACAAAAATTAGCTGGGCGTGGTGGTGCACGCCTGTAGCCCCAGCTACTCAGGAGGCTGAGGCAGGAAAATTGCTTGAACCTGGGAGTTGGAGTTTGTGGTGATCTGAGATTGCGCCACTGCACTCCAGCCTGGTGACAGAGCGAGATTCCATCTAAGAAAAAAAAAGAAAGAAAGAAAGAAAGAAAGAAAGAAAGAAAGAAAGAAAGAAAGAAAGAAAGAAAGAAGAAAGGAAGGAAGGAAGAAAGAAAAAACAAACAAAAAAACCTGTTGGACTCATCCTAATTTCCTCTTTTCTGTGATAAGCGTCACTAGTTCCTTCAACTGGTTTTCATGTTACATGATTTTCAACTTATTCAGCACTCAAATCTCTCTCTCCTAAAATGTGTATCCCTGTTTAAATAGTTGAAATTATTCTTTTAAAAGGTTCAGGGTCACAACTGGGTACCACTTGGCCATTTCAGAACAAGAATAATCATATCTTTTATTTTACTACAAGGTAGTCACTTTGTATTCTAACTCCCAATGAGCTTATTCTCCTCTAGCATTCATGATGCTCCTAAGCCATGTCTCTACCATTTGATACTTTTATTATTTTTTCTTTAGCTCTGCTGCAGGACATTGTATTTATATGTATTCCTGTTAAAATTATTCTTGTTAGACATGTCCTGTTACTTCATCCTCCAAGATCTAGAGTCTTGCTTTCAAATATTTTCTGTCCTTCTTAACTTGATTATATCTGCACATGGGATGAGTAGCTCCCTCTTGGCCTTGATCTAAACCATTGACTGAAAAGTTGAAGAATAGAGAGGATAAATTCTTATGAAACTGCACAAGTCAAGCCTCTTTAGGCTGACTCTGGTCCATTAATTAGTGCAACTCAGTCCAGCAAACTGTCTTAGCATATAGCTCATTCATCTTCTCCCTTGGGGAGAGACTATAAATAAGAGGCTTGATCAATATATTACAATAAGACAAACTAGTTTAGTAGATCCTATCATGGTTCTTGTTTCTGGAATCCACCTCCAGATGTGTCTATCCCATTAGGCTCAAAGCAAACTTGCTCAAACTCTAAGTTTCAAAATGAGAGGATATTTTAAATTCAAGTCTTGAAGGTGTCTCTTAATATCCAAGGCTTCTGGCAGATGCTTTTGTCCACAGGGGCTGCTGAAACCCCACCAAATATGTGACTACTTCTCCCCACTTTGTGTAAGTCTCAGGACTGAAGAACAGAAGGGAAAGAGGACCTTAGGTCTAAACACTGAAGCTTCTTTCTACACAAAAGTTTTCTTTGGAAATTCCAGCAAAGAATCATGAGACAGAGACACTCACTGCAGGCTGTAACTGCGAATCCTTTTCCAATAGACTAGGTCCAATGACTCTTAGTTGAGTTTTGTTTTGTTTTGTTTTTTGCTTTTTGTTTTTTGTTTTTTTAGAAAAAACCCTACTTTTCTTGATGGTTCCACTTTGAGACTTAGTGGTGCAATCTCAGGTTGATGCTATTTCTCTCTATTCTTGCCCCTTCCCTGCATATGCAGATGCATATGTCATCCTCTATGTGTGATGTATGTCTTCCTCCACCAGTAGCACTTATTTGCATTTGAGAATATATTATTTTTGAATTAGTGTGAATGTTTCAGCTCCCTCACCTATTTTGAAATGCATCTCTTGACCAGGTGTATAGAAAATTAAGGCAATTATAGAGAAAATTAAAGCAAACAGCTTTAATAAGGAAAGAAAATTCCATTAGCCTGATTACCAACATATATCACATTAAGCAACATATATGTGGTGTGAAAGCAATGCCCCTAATTAATGAACATATTTTATTGATAATTCTTCTTTTCGCATTGAATGTAAATGAACAATGTCTTACACATCTCTGTATGAAGAAACTTTTGCATAAAATTGATTAAATAATTACCTTCTAATGTATTTGTTATACTTTCCAATTTTCACTCATCAATTTTTTAAGCTGAGCATGACTGTGTCCATTTGCCTGCCCTATTATTTGTTGGAAGGGCTTCAATTCACTCTGATTTTGCCTTTATCCCTGTAGGCACAGCTAATTCTGCTCCACCCTAGGAATTTAATGAATAGGGTAAACATGGATGGAGTTATGGGTCCTCATACTAACTTTCCATAAGTACCATCTCACCTACATTCCCTGACAGCCTTGGATATTCAGGGCTTTTTTATGGACATATTTCAGAAGCTAAAGTTTTTACCTCAATGTTGCAGAGACACTCTTCTAACTTCGTGACAACTTCAGAAAACTCGGGTCTTCCCTGTAAATAGAAAAAAGAACTTTTTTTTTCCCTTAAGAATAAAAGGAAGGAGACTCTCTTTGGATTTTAAAGTTGGGTATTAGCATTTGTAAAGAATGAGATTAACAATAAAGTATATTTTTATTTAAAATACACTTTTATTGAAGTGTTAATTGAATGTTCATTTGCTGTTCATGGAGGGATGTTGAGTCTCCCTCTGATAAGAGTTTTAAGTCAGAATTTGCAACTACATTCAGATAATGAAATAGGGGAAAAGCTTTAATTAGCTTTGCATGTTTTTAAATGGCAGGTTTCCTCTTCAAAATGAAAGAATAATAGTGAATACCAAAAACTATTAACTATCTCAGTGCCTTGTAATATACTGCACACTATGTATAAAAAGAACTGCTAAAGTAGATTTATAATGAACTTCACTTTTGAAAAGATCATCTCAGATTCAAAACTAAGATGATGATAGAAACCTCAGGACTATGCCTTACTTTAGGGTTTAAGATTAGCTTTTTATCTTCAGACAGTGCCATTAAAGATATTGCCCATTATTAACCTCTGTGTCAGATGAGTTTGGTTAAAAAAAGTTTATTCCAAATATATTTCAAGCTTTGTTCCAGTTGCAAGAGATAAAAATGTTTATTGGAAAAATTCTTGGAATTTTAGAAAATGTTGACCTCTTTTGAGAAAATTATTTGTCTTCTTTCGTCAGATCCTAAAACCATACATCCTATCATTTCTCCCTTTATGAAACTTTCACTGCCAGGAGGGGGAGAGCCCAATTTAACATTCAGGAGTAGTAACCAACTAATTTAGATTCTTAGTAGAACAATTTCTCCCTTACTATCTAGCCTACCCCTGAGAACATTGCTTCCCTTATAAGCTGTTTCCTCTCACATACTCCTTGTATCTCTAGGTTGGTGGGGGCAGTGGGAGCAGTGGGAGCAGTGGGAGCAGTAGGGTGAACAAAATCCTGTGTCTTCCTTGCTGTCACTGCTACTTCCAAATGGTTTCTCTTCTAAACACCACCAGCTTGTCAGGCTACATGACCAGCTTGTCAGGCTATACCACCAGAGTCTAGCTACACCCCCTCATTCTTTGGGGATTTAAAAAACTGGCTGACTTCATATTCTCTATCACTACTCTTTGTACTTTTATTATCCATGCAAATGATCATTAAAATAGCCTGACCTCTGGGTTCCTTTGCCTACTCTTCTCCAATGAGCTTGTCCTCCAAACTCCTTTAGTCACTCAGCCCCTTAGTTATACCCTAGACCCTGTCATGACCAATGCCTGCACCCCTCCATGCTCTTTAACCTCTCAATCTTTATCAGACAACTCTCTGAGCTGTCTCCTTTCTTTCTAGCTCACTTTTTCTAGAAACCCGACTCCAACAATCTTGGATCACACTGGTAATTGGAAGCCATTTTACCACTTAAAACAAAACAAAACAAAACAAAACAAGAGCTTTATATTACGAGCATTTCCAAATATGTCCTAAAGTAGATACCCTTCTATCTACCTACCTACCCATCTGTCGATCTTTTTCCTTACTTGTTGTTTTGCTCATTTCATCATCTTTTCACTGTCACTCACTTTCCCTTTACCTATCTTACATTTCATCAACATTTATCATTAGATTCACTTCCAACTATCACTCCCTTGCACACATCCTCAACTCTCTGGCTTCATCTTGCATTTTGTACACTACTGAAAGAATCCTAACCTTTATTGAATCAATTCTGCCTGTCTCATTTCAAAATCTTGACCCTCTAACCTCCCATAGACTGTCAGTACTGCTCAGAGAGCCTATTACATATTTCTAGCCCATTAACTTTCTCATTCTCCAGATGACTATTTTGTACCTTCTCTCTCCTCAAACCTCTAGCTCCCACTACTACATTGACCTACTCGCCTATGACCTACATAATTTGCCCTCACTTTTTTTTCTATGGATGAACTTCGCCTAATTCTGAGGCCAACTCCTTCACTTGTGTGCTCCAGCAATAATTCTCTCATCTGGTTTTTTTTTTTTTTTTTGCATCGTTCATGTTCCTTCTTTATTGTTTAATCTCCACCAGCATACAGACATACTATACATTCTCCTATCTTAAAAGCAAACAGCAAAATAAAACCCTTAACCTCTCTTCTTCAAGCTACTGTTTCATTGCTGTTTACCTTTACAGCAAAAATGTTCTAGAGTTATCTAAATTTGTGGTCCTAATTCCCCTTCTTCCATTTGCAATCCATCCTAATCAAGCTTTCTCCTACAACACTGCTGAAACTGCCCTTGCCAAGGTTACAAAGATCTCCTCGTTGCTAAATTCAATGGTTACATCTCAGTGGTCATCTCACTTGGCATAGCATTGAATACAAGCAACAATTCCTTTGTCCCTGAAACACGTTTTTCAATTGGCTTTGAGGACACCATTTTCTTATTTTTTTTCTGTGCTCATTGGCTTCTTCTTAGCCTCCCTTTTTGGTTTCATCTCTCTTTCTTATCTTTAAGCTTTTCATCACCCCAAGACTCAGTCTTTGAGTCTCTTTACTCTTTAGAATTAATTTGTTGAGGAGCTAATTCAGCCTCATGCCTTTTAAAAAACAACTCCCAGCTGGCCGGTTAGCTCAGTTGGTTAGAGCGTGGTGCTGATAAAAAACAACTCCCAGATTTCTATCTCTAGCCCAGTACTTTCTCCTGAACTCTAAACTCATACATGCAATTAATTATATCTATAGCTTTTCCCATTTCAGTAAATGGAAACTCCATCCTTCTACTTGCAGAGGCAACAACAACAAAAAAAAGTGATGATCTTTGACTACTCTCTTTATCATTCTTGCCTCTAATATACCAGCAAATTATATTGATCTTACCAGTCAGAATCTGAATGATCAAGTAACTTATATTAGATCAACCCTCCTACAGAAAACAACTAGAAACTCTGGACAAAATGTAAACGACAGCTACCTGAAGGCACTGGAAAGTTAATAAAAGCAAGTAGATCCTGGAGGAGAGTAAGTCACTTAGAAGAAAGGAACTAGTATGTTTCCCACCTCTCTGTCTCTGTCTCTCTCTCTCTCTCTTTCTCTCTCTCTCTCTCTCTCTCTCTCTCGCATTTAGCCTGAGGGTAAACCACTTCTGCATTTTAGGAAACAGTTAAAATTCTGATGGTTTGCTTGTTTGAAGGACCAGAGGACAGAATTCAGGGCAACTGGAGTGTATTATTTATTGTTTTGTAACAAATTACAATAAACCTAGTGATTTAAAACAATGTTCATTTATTATCTGTTTCCATCGGTAAGGAGTACAGTATAGATTAGCCGGGTTCTTTGCTCAGAGATTCACTAGGCTGAAATCAGGGAGTCAGCAGGAACTGTGATTCTCATCTGAGGCTCAAGGCCTCTTTTAAGCTCATCGGTTGTTGGCAGAACTCATTTCTTTGTGGTTGTATGACACATGTCTGTTTTCTTGCCATCTGTTGCCCAGAAATGACTCTCAAATTCTAGAGGATACCTACAGCTGCTTGCCACATAGGCAGTTCACAACATGGCTGTTTGCTTTTTTCCTGACTGGCAAGGGCACATGCTTGACTTCCTACTCTGTGACCAGCTGTAAAACGTATTCTGCTTTTGAAGGGCTCACCCAATTAGGTCAGACCCACTTGGGATAATCTTCCTTTGGTTATATGATGAAACATAATCATGGGAGTAATAGCTCATCATATTCACAGGTTCTGCCCACACTGAAGGGGAGGGTATTCTACATGGCATGTACACCAGGGGAAAGGAATCTTACAGGCCATCTTAGAATCCTGCTTATTACAAATAGGCAGTAGAAAATGAGAGGGGATCCTGGTAAAAGCCCTGGAATCTATGTGTAAATTATACCTAAATCTCTGGTTGGCCCCTGAACCACACATGCATGAGGCACACTAACCAGTCAGGTAGGGCTAAAATAAATGAACTGAGATTAGATCTGCTGCCCCATGCAGGGCATTGTTCTTACTGTTTTCTCAGACTGGAATTATCTAATGCTTATTCTCTGCCCATGGAAATTCACTGCACTCTGCAAAGCCCAACTCACAAGCTACATCCTTCTTAAAGCATCCACATTATTCCACAACATAATTATTCACTTGCATCTAGATTTACTTCATTTCTCCTTGTGTTATAGATAAGTATTTACATGTCTATCACTAGCTAGAAAGTGCTTTGATGCAATGGTTTATTTACTCTTAGACACCTAGCACATTCCATCAGAGAGGTTAAATGAGCTCAAATTTGTTAAATTAAATTGCATCATTATGATTAAAAAAATCATCTGGAATATGCTTATCTCTCTCATCCTGGTCTACACCACATCATCTCTTGCTTATATTACTACAATTGTCTCCTATTTTTGCTACTTCTGTTCTTTGCTTATCTAATAGTATGTTCCCAACCCAGTAGTTAAAATGATCATTTAAAAATGTACATCGGACCAAGTAATGCCACTCACTATAGCCTCCAATTATTTCCCATGTTATCTGGGTTAAAATCCTACATCTTTGCATTCATCTCTAAGGTATACAACAACCTGCTCCTATGATTCTGTGCCCTATTCTTCCTCTTACACACTCCACTCTGGCCACACCAACTTCCTCATGCCCTCAGAACTTTGCATTGGGTTCTCTCCACCCTGACACACTAATGCCTTCACCTTCTCCAGCTTATTGTTCAAATGTTGTTTTATCAGAGAGATTTTCCTTGTTCGCCGTATTTAGAGCCCTCAAGCCAATGTGATCTTCTCCTTTTCTTGTTTTATTTATTCTATAGCACTTATCACCACATGACTGAATACATATTTTATATTATTTGTTTATTATTTATGTCCTTTTATAGGAAGTACACTTCCCAAAGGCAGGGTCTTGTCAGCCCCTGCTCTATGCCCAGTACTCTGAGAGTGCCTAGCATGCAGAAGGTGATCTACAAATGCTTGTTGAATAAATAATAGAATTAATCATTTTATGTCTTTTTCAACATTTTATTTTGTTCTCAAACTATCTTATAGGTAGAGGGTTTTATTATAATTTGCTCCTTTTTTTTTTTTAATCAACCAGTGAAGGCATTATAAATGAATTGTCTTTTTTGAACATAAAATTCAAGTGATGTTAAATATTTCTCTGGGGAGTTGAAAAAGCTTAAAAATAATGGTAAAATTTAACATTTAGTAAACACTTAGAGTACCCATTTAACTCTTATAACACTCTGTACTGTAGGAATTTATTATTATTTCTATTTTACGCAAAAAACAAAAAGAGACATTTTTTTCTAAGATAATATAGTCACTAAAAACAGAGCTGAATTCAAAGCTAAGTAGAGCTTGTGAGTTTAATCTTGACTTCATACTCACTCCCTAGGTGTGGCATTTAAATCTATAAGGAGTAAGAATTTAGTTATACTCATGTAAAACTCAGTGCCTGAGATGAGCTTTGCATACTAGAAGAAACACTGGATTGAAAGTTAAGACTTGGTTAAAAAACTACCAGCTATGTGATTTACGATGGTTTACTAACAATCCTGAGCTGTTTCTTTAGTCTCTAATTGGGCTGCAGAATTAAGAGAACTAAGTAAGATAATGTTTGGTGAAAGCACTACAAACTATATATTGTTTTGCAAAGTAACTTAATTTTTTCAAAATACTAATAAATATGCCGTGGATGTGAGCTCTCTGAATTTATAGTCAAATGCTTTAACATTTTGGTTTAAATTCTATGCAAATTAAGGAATGTAGTTGTTTACCTGGCATCTTAAGAGAACACCAAGATGCTTATTGAACAGCAGAAATTACCAAAATGCCTCATGAGCTGTATGTACTAAAATAATGCATAGTAAATGCCAACATTATGATATACATTGCCATCTACTTTCCTTTCAGGTGGATGGCTGGTACTCTTCGCCATCATGTTGCAGTTGGTGGCAGCTTGCCCTGAGTCATGTGTGGTGTGCACCAAAGATGTAACCCTCTGTCACCAGCTAACCTATATAGTAGGTAATAAAACTAATAACTCTACAAAGCAGTGCTCAGTGTACCTGGAAAATTGGTTGCCGTACCTTTCATTGTACTGACTCTTCTCTGGGCTCAGCTTAAAAGAGGTAACCCTTTAATGAGTAAGCTTCAAACAATGACTAAAGAGACTGGTAATATTTTGTTTTCCTATTCCTGATGGTCTCAATCAAAACTATTTAAAGACCTTCAGAAGTAATTGAGATATTTTGCTATTGCAAAAGAATATCACCATTTTATCCAGCTACACACTTAACAAATATATCACTTTAATTATATTTTTGTACATACTTTGTGCAGATTTGAACCCTACCACCAGCTGGAAGAAATATAAATGAATCAGAAACCTGAACTGCAATCGTTCAGCATTAGTAAGATTAAGTGATGTACCAGTGAAACAGATTATTATCAAAGTGCGTCTCATTTTGAAAGTCTGGTCTTTTTTTATTGGTGGTAAATGAGCTGTAGAAATGCTAACAAGATACACTGCCTGTATTCATTACATATTGCTTGCTTAAGTCAACAATTTAATAAGACACCTTATTAACAAATTTGAGGAGAATGTGATTTACATCCTGATATCCAAGAAGAGATAAACAAGCTATAAGCTCTGCCAATGGAAAATTTCCATAAACAAGCTTGAGTTACGACAGAGTGGAAGAGGATAATTTCTTCCATTTCTAAAATTCCATGACTCTGATAATTAGGAAGTAGATGTTGTCACCATCCTTGACAGGAGAGAGAAGGTTTCAAGGATAGTTGACGTGTATATTGTTTCTAATCAGTATTGAAAATGCTTTAACACTAAACTCTCCCCATCTAAAATGGATTTCTTGACTTCACTACATTTATTTTTCCTGATCAGAGATAGTTGATGTCTGTAAGAAACAAATATTTCTCATCTACATTGTTGCACCTCTATATCATTCATCCTTCTCATTTACAGAACACCACATTTGTGAAGTTAGATTTCATAATTACAGAGAACAAAATGGATGAATTGGTAGTTGGGTTTCTTTTCTAGACCTAGACAAGAAGTAATTGATAGAAATAATAGCCTGCTCATTCAGTGTCAGCAAATCCCTAAAGGACTGAGAACCCATGAAAACAAACCTCCTTCATCCCGTATCAAAAACAATGACGAGAGGAACAAAATGCCGAACTGGCCAGAATGAATAGCATTCAAATAATCAATCATAAATGCTGAAAAAATTACCAGGATTTAAGCTTGCTTGTGCTGCAGGGATGAGAACAATTCTTTCAAAAGAAGGCACTCTGAGAATCTTTTGTCTTTTACATATTTTTTAATCTCTTTGTTTCTGCGATGCAGTCTGAATTTCCTAAGGGATTTGTGATTTGCTTCCCTGTGGTTGACTGTTCTAATATCACCTGCAGACCTCCCAGTGACAATGGACTCCTCTATCCTTATGACACTGTCATTTGCAGTCAAAACAATTTTAGCATGATAAAGATGTGTTACAATAAATCCTGATTATAATACATCTTTATTGAGTTAAAATGCTTTGATTTCTAATGACAGAGCAGTGATAGCTCTGAGGTGATTATGGTGAAGGGATTTAACAGTTGGAAGCCCTGAGTACCACCTGTCATCACATGATGGACTTCATTGGAGGGAACAGATATTAGACAGGACGCCAAGATGGCCCAGACTATAATGAGAACCCCACTGACAGACACTTGGGTTGTCTGGAGTGAATATATATCCTTACCAAGTTGCCAACTTTTAGCCTGGGGCTAAAAAGCAGAAACCAGTGCTCCTTCTCACTCTCCCCACCCCAACATGCACCTTTATGTTTGGGAGAAAAGATGATTGACTTCACAGCATAAATATAAATTGCTATAGAACACTGACTAGGGGGATCAGACACAGGCTCAGCTCTTAGTTGACTCTGTACTGGATCTGCAGGGCTAGATCAGGCCGGTACACAGCCTTGGAGGGAGGGCCTGAAAAGACACCTTCAAAATAACATCCATGAAGATAATCTGAAACAATGAATTAACTTTGACATCTAAAGTAACAGATGGGTTTATGTTTCTCAAACAAACATGTCACAGTAGCAAAGAATATAAAAATCCATCATTTTGATATATAGCCAGCTTCCCCTTAAATTTAGAAATCAGAAAATCATTTTCATGTTGTGTACTGTTTACTGTTTTTACCCAGGTGATAAGATTGCTTAGAGGATATTGATTCTCTGCTCTCCACCATACCCCCGCCCTCCCACTCATGTGTATCCTGCATCTAGTCTGTGCTTTTTTGCCCACAGCAGCCCCTATGACCACGAGGGTTTTAATCATCACTGATGGATATCTGTCCTCTATTGAGAGCACCAACCTGTCTCTCTTGTTTAATCTTGCCCTGCTCTCTCTGAGCAGAAATGGTATCGAGGATGTTCAGGAAGATGCCCTAGATGGCCTTACGATGTTGCGGACTTTGTTGCTGGAGCACAACCAAATATCCAGCTCTTCGCTCACTGATCACACCTTCAGCAAGCTTCACAGCCTGCAGGTGCTGGTGCTGAGCAATAATGCTCTCCGCACCCTACGAGGGTCTTGGTTCCGAAACACAAGGGGCCTGACCCGGCTCCAGCTGGATGGGAATCAGATCACTAATCTCACAGACAGTTCTTTTGGAGGCACGAATCTCCACAGTCTCAGGCATCTGGATTTATCCAACAATTTTATTTCCTACATTGGGAAAGATGCCTTCCGGCCCCTGCCTCAACTACAGGAAGTGGACCTTTCGCGAAATAGGTTAGCCCACATGCCGGATGTTTTTACTCCACTGAAGCAGTTAATCCATCTGAGCTTAGATAAGAACCAGTGGAGCTGCACTTGTGATCTCCATCCCCTTGCTCGGTTTTTAAGAAACTACATTAAGTCTTCTGCTCACACGCTCAGGAATGCCAAGGACCTAAATTGTCAGCCATCTACCGCAGCTGTGGCAGCTGCACAGAGTGTGCTGAGGCTGTCTGAGACCAACTGTGATCCCAAAGCTCCCAACTTCACTCTGGTTCTAAAGGACAGAAGTCCCCTCCTCCCAGGACAAGATGTGGCCCTGCTGACTGTCCTTGGCTTTGCAGGTATGCCGGGGAGAAGTGTGCCCTCCTCTTTTCTCTTCACTTGTCCATATTTTTGCAGCATGCTAAGTGATGCTTATCTCAGACACTTGGGGAAATTTGCCAAGCTCATGGAAAGGAGAGGTTGCCAGTAGATGGGGGAGGATATTAGCTGATTTAGCACAAGTTGCAAGAATTTCCTGTTTCAAGGAAGCTTTCTAAAATAGAGGAAAGGGCCCTGGACCAGAATTCAAGAGCTCCAGTCCTGGTATAACTAGCACTGTGATCTTGAACAGGTTAACTTGCTATTTAGACTTTAATTTCCTTGTGTGTAATACAAGAATAACATTTACATTTCATCAACCATCCTTTCACCAAAGAGTACTGGTGCATTTGTTATGACACTAGGTGATAGATATTTAAAAACTGATGGGACATAGACTCTTTCCGCAAGGCACTTACATTTGTGTGCTTCTCCATGGCACACAGTAAGAGTCAGCAGACTTTCACAGATGCACAAAAGGATGCTACTATGGCAATCACATATATCTCAGTCTGCAGTGTTTATATGGCACAGTAGTTAAATAAATGAGCTGTGTAGTTGGATTACCTAGGTTTGAATTCTGGCTCTGCTATTGGCTGTGTGACTTTGAACACATTATCTAACTTCTCTGTGCCTTGGTTTTCCTCCTGTTGGGGGGATTTGAATTCTTCTAAAATTTCTATTTGTCCAACTCTATGTAAACTTTGCCCATACTTCCCCAGACCAACTAAGGGGAGGATAATATGCAATTCTTTATATATTTTTTGTAATTTAAAATTTATTAAACTATGCGTCAGCTATCATTGCATCTCACTGGATGAATAACATAAAATGGCACTTAGTGTCATTAGTTGAAGACCAAAGATGCATGAGATTTCTTAAGTTATCTAGCTCAATCTGTGTGTTTTCCCCTATGCTCTCAGTGCATGGTGAAATCCTCTGCACCTGTGGGTAACCATGGTGATGAGGGGGCAGGGAGAGAGAGAGAGAGAGACCAGAGACAAACAAATGGCATCCAAGACTGACGTATTTTAAATATGTGCTATAAGTCATTATTCTATAACAGTTATCTAGTGAATTGATTGATTGTATTTTTACCTCCTGACAATTACACTTTTAATCAGGATAGATGGAGACCAGCATCAGGTATAGACAATGGAACTACCATCAGCAGTAATCAAATTCACTCGGAAGGAAATTCAAATGTTAGGAAGATAAATTCTTTTAAAAACCATGTAACTATGTCAGTAATTGTATGTACTAAGAAGTAATTTGCCATAAAAGACATAAGTGATGGGGCAGCAGACAGGTTTCCCTTAAATGTGCTTCTTAGAACACTAGCACTGGTGGATAATTAATAGATATTCCAATAAAAACACACAGATGCACATATAGGCAATAGATGGTGGGGTTCAAATAGGTTTAAAAGTTACTAAGTTAAGCAAAGTGAAACAGGTGTACTCACTGCAGCACTTCTCGTAACCTTTCATTTTCTAATGAGCACTATACATTTCTAAGAGGAAGGTGTGATATGGAGCATTTCTTGAACTTATTTGGCCATGATCCCTTTTTTTCATAGAGGATTTCATTGAATTTGTGTTCTAGAGGACATCGTTTTGGAAATATTATAATAGAGCAATTTTTAATATCTTCTAGTTACCTTTTATACCTGTTTTCAGAAATATATATTCAGAAATATATTTAGCTACATTAACGGTTCTTTTTTTGTATTGAGACGAATACAAATTCTAGGAGATTCCAAAGGTTTTGTCAAAGTGAGAGGGAGCTTAATATACGTGAATAAATTCTGATAAATTATAAATATGATTACATATATGTTAGGTTTTGGTGTGTGAAATTATCATGCTAATATATCTTTCATCAAATAATTGTTAAATTATAGTGCTTTGAGAAGAGATTCTTCTTTAAAAAGACTCTGATTTTTAATGTTAATTTGCTCCATTAAGATTCCACTCTTTCTGAAGTACACATGGGGCAAGTTATCTATACTTCTAGATTGTAGGAAAAACACTTAGAACTATAATTTTGCCTATGAGTCCATTTTCTTCTTCAGCTATATCTAAGTCATAAAAATTCAAAGGAATATAAATAGCTATATTCAGTAAATTTAAAACTAATAAATGGTTATTTGGCATCAAACACTAATATCTTGACACGTATGCTATGAACTGGTAGATAAAAAGTTTTTATGAAGCTGTAACGTGTTTCTAATGTTTCAATAAGAACTTATCATTAATTTTCCCTTTTTCTCTTGCCAACTCAGAAAGATTGTTAGAATACTTTTTAAAAATAGAAACAATGCCCATGGCAAAGAAAATTCAAACAGCTTCTTAATAGCACGTTCCGCCTGCCTACAAGCTTCATTTTCTGCTTTTGCTTTCTACGCTAATGGAAAGTGACCATACCTGACTGGTAATGGGATACAGATATATACCTAGCATCAACAGCAGGGGAGTCAGTGAGTCCCTGCCATTCAGACACAATTAGAGGAGAAACTGTATCCTATAATCAGATTATGTTTACTCTCATTTCAATGGCTGATTCTTGTCTTCAAGAACACTTAGCCCTTTTGTTCCTTCATTATTTGGCCCACTAACTGCACCAGTCATATAAAATATCATCCTAATGATTGATTTTTGGATTTTTTTTCCTGATAGGTGAGTCTTTCAGGAACCAATAGAGCAATGCAAAACCTAAACAATGGTAGCTCAGTAATCATAATCATAATCATAAATCGCAATGAACGCTCATTGAACTCTACTATATCAAAGCACTGTGTTAAACATGTCACATATATTATTCAATCCCTGGATAGTATCAGTTATCCTTATTTGTGAAAGGAGAAAAAATAATTGTTAGAGAAATTAGAAAATAACAAGAAAAGTGTCAGAACATAGCTTTGAATCTTGAGTTTTCTTACCCATATAAGTTAAGGAGTGGTGCCAGTTTTTAATTTTTTAGTATGTTCTTTAACATGTTAAATCCAAAATCATTGCTTGGGATAATTCAAACTCTAGAATCTGTCAATGAAAGGATTATTATTTACATAATTTTGCTACAGCTTTTAAAAATGTACCTTAGATTGCTTCAATATGTTAAGAGCACTTTCCAAGAGTGTATTGTTGGCAAATGAATTAAAATAGATTTAAGAGCTCAAGATATGGTAAACTATACAATGGTTTGAGGGTTTTACCAGAAACTGCTATTCTCTGTGTTCTTCATGTTTAACACACACACACAAAAGAAACAATCATGACCTGATACCTTCTCTTTTTATTTAAGTTTAAAAAATATGTTTTCATTAATATAGTCTCCAGGGGATAAAATTGGGCATAGCGTAGCCAGTCAGACAATCTGGAATGTTGTCTTCATTTCCAGAAAAGGGCACCATCCTCAGGCAATGTGGGTTTAGGACACAGATCTCTTTACTCAATCTGTACTGACACCATGTCTTCCTAATCACATCTTGAGGATTTATAAGATTAGATTACCAGTGATTTCATTATCAGAATTCATAAACAGAATCCCTTCTGTTGATTTAAGAATATATAATAAATATTTCTGCCTCCTTTGCCTCAGAGTTGTGGACACTGGGGATAGAATGTTGAACAGGACTAAAAGGATGTGTTGCCTCACAGTGCTTAATTGTAGCAGAGGAGGACAGTCTGTGAACAAGCAAATGAATGAATAAACACAATAATACACTTCATAAGTGTGAAGAAACAAGGGAAATCACTGTGATAGATAATGAGGGTATGACTCAGGGACATTGGTTTGAACATTTAGGTGGTTGAGGATGCCATTTGTCAAGATAGGAAAAAGTGAAATAGAAACAGATTAGAGTCAGCATCTGGGCTCGAGAAACACTGGATCTTGCAATTTTATTCAGAGAACAAACTACATAGAACATGAAATGACAGTACCAGGCAGTCTTAGATGAGATGTCATTGATTCTATTATGAGAGTTCGTAAAAGGAGGTGCCATAGACAGAAAAAATGTTACTGCAGGGACTGTTTTATCTTAAATGAATTTCAGTTCATGAAACAGCCCTTTTTCCTACCAAAGAGATTCCAGATGGTGTTGTTTCTTATAATCTTTAATATGTATAAAGATCCAAATTGGAAAGCAGAACATTGTCAATGGTAGCCTCTGTCTCAACTGATATTTTCCAAATGGTGAAGGACTTCCTGCCCATTCTGATATCTTTCAAGCCATTAACCTTTATGTTTGTGGTTTTTACATTTGATGATTTATATGTTTCTTCCCAAGATGTTATCTTTTAATGGTCTCTCTATTTGTCATAGGAGCTGTTGGTCTCACTTGCCTAGGTTTAGTTGTATTTAACTGGAAACTCCAACAAGGCAAAGCAAATGAACACACATCAGAAAACCTTTGTTGCAGAACCTTCAACGAACCCCTGTGTGCTCATGGGGCAAGAAATTACCACACTAAGGGATACTGTAACTGCTACTTAACTCAGGAAAACGAGATAAAGGTCATGTCCATTGTGGGGTCCAGAAAGGAAATGCCACTTTTACAGGAAAATAGTCATCAAGCAACATCGGCCTCTGAGTCCACAACCCTTGACGGATCATTTAGAAACCTGAAAAAGAAAGACCATGGGGTAGGCAGCACTTTATTTTGCCAGGATGGTAGATTGCTGCATTCAAGGTGTTCACAGTCTCCTGGAAATACGACAGCTTTTAATGAAGCAGGCTTACTTACAACATATAATTCAAGGAAAGTTCAAAAGCTAAGGAATCTTGAGTCTGGAGAAGTCCTGCCTCAAACTCTGCCACACCATATAATAAGAACAGAAGGTGAGTTTGTCTTGTTTTAGAAAATCCCACTCCGTTTAATGCTTTTTGAAGGAGGGAGCCTCCCTTCTTTAATTTCCTCAATAGGAAATGCTATAAAAATCACTGTAGCACTAGTCTATTCCTTTTCTAAAAATATTGTGTGTGTGTGTGTGTGTGCGTGCGCGCATGTGTGTATGTGTGTGTGTTTAGGCTGAGATGGAGATGAAGTGTTCTTACTTTTAGGAGCTGAGATTGCATCTCCTGACTGCTAAAAGTAAATTTTGAGGCCCAACACCTAACAATGTTAAAAAAAGAAAAAAGTAGCCTTTTAAATAGCAAGAGTGCTGTTAAGATCTATGGGATGGCTAATATCAGCTTTTATTCCAACATCCTTCGAGCTCTAATGCCAATTCTGCAGTAAGCAACCTTCCCAGAGCATGACATGTTAGAAGAATGGGCCCTCTAATGCTAGTGATGCATTTCAGGAATGATGTCAAGAAACATACTTTGCTTGCTGAGCTGTCAGGGATGATAACTTCCCAGTCCAAGCAAAGTCAGGACTTAATTCATCGTCCCATGCTGGGAGCCAAGTGAATCTGGCCGTGACATCTACCCACTGTACATGGGCGATGTCAATATTTAGGTGGAGGCAATGAATTAAATGTCTTCCTTTTTCTTCCTGAATAGTAAGGCTATGCATTCAGGCTCAGCAGTGAAAATGTTGACAGCTGCTCTGTAAAGAGGTTCCTGTCATTTATTTGAATTGGTTTACAACAAGCAGAGCTTTCTCTAAGAATATGAATGACAGAGGTGCTGTATCAAGAAATTCTTACCACAGGGGTCTGGCCCTAAGGATGCATTTTGGGGTGACTGGACAAGAATAAAGCCATATGTTATTTCACATATGTTATAAGGTAGGATGTGAGTTTATTCCATTGCATTCCCACACTCCAGTTCTTAACAGCGTCTGGGGGTTGATGATTTCACACAAGACAGGGATGGCTGAGGAAAGCAGCATACGCCATAGAAACTGGGTCAGATTGACTTTATTTTACAAAGAAATAAGCACTTACCCTTTCACTAGAATCATACCTTAGGCAGATGCTCCATTTCATCTTTTAACTTTGTCCAATGCCTGAACTTCTCTGTGAGAAACTCTTATAACTGAAGGGGTATGGTCTCTTAACCATTTAAAACCCAGTATGTTGTTTTCACACTGAGAACACTGGTTTGTCAGATTAGCATGAACATTTGTAAGAAATACCTGAAATGCTGCTCCATGCCAGGCATTGTACCAGAACTAGAGAGGGTAGGTATATGAGGAGAAAACAGCCAAAAAATTGCCACTCTGATTATGCCTTCTGACTTAGAAAAAGAATAATGGATTTTCCAGGGTAGAGGGGACTTTAGATCTAGACTAATAGTTCTTAATGTTTATCTCTGAGTCACAGAACTCTCTGAGACTCTGACAAAGGCTACAGATTCTTTCCCCGGCATAATTTGTATACTTACATAAAGCTCCCATCTAGTCCAACCTTCTAATACACAGAGAGCAAGTAGCTTCTCCAAGGTCACCTAGAATGTTGACGGCAGATCTTAGATTGGAATTAGATGCTAGTCTGGGACTTAGTTCACCTCTTGGGGAAAAGTGGAGATGGAGTGTCCCCACCCTTAGGAGTTGAGAGTACATCTCCTGTCTACTAAAAGTTAATTTTGAGGCCTAACACCTAACAATGTTAAAAACGAAAAAGAAAAAAAGCCTTTTAAATAGCAATAGTGCTGTTAAGATGTTTTGCAGTTAAGATGTTTTGCAGTTAAGATTTCCTTTTTTATCATGGAATAAAAAACTACTTCCTCTGGATGAAAAAATTTCATGAAACAATAGAAAGTATCTAATAAATAATTTTAAATTTTAGATGCATTGTAGTTAATAGGGTCCTTTAATGTCAGATAGACTTGGGGAAGTCATTCCCCAAGCATGGGGACTAGGGGAAAGCATTCAATTTCTTTAAAGCTCATTCCTTCATCTGCAAAAGTTATAAGACAGTAGGATATGTCCAATGGATCATGTCTCTTGTGAATATTAAAAGAGATGATGAATGTACAATATGAGCACAATGCCTAGCTCATAGCATGTGCTCTATTAATGGTATTACTATTATTTTTTGTCATTAATATTATTTAACGTGTAAAAGGAGATTATAGGCAGACATTAAGGAGAAGCCAGTACAAGTTTCCTTCTTCTATATGTGCCTATAGGGCTGTAGAGATGTCTATCTCGGAACAGTAAAAGGAAGCTTCCTTTTTGAACAGTTCATCATGTACTGTTTTCTTTCAGTGAATGAAAGATTGTAACATTAAGAGGAATTTGCAGGCAGACATTTAAAAGAAACTAGCAGAATAAGTTATAAGATTAATAAGATTAAATATTATATTAATCTGTACCATTTTAAAAGTCCCAGGCAAAGACTGCTGCCACACAAACCGGGCTATATTTCAAAATAACTATTTATTTAACAAATATTTAATGAACATTTTATTAAGTTATGGGAAATAAAACAGATATGATCTCTGCTTTCATTGAGTCAATAGTATTGCAAGTATTTCCCTTTCGTTGTTCAGGTTATTATCTGAAACCTGAATCTTACTCAATATTGCACCCATATTTTGCCCAATATTTAAGTTGCAAATGGGAAATAAATTCAGGAAAAAATTACCATAGCCACTTAAAAAGGATTTAGATATTATTCACATTTAAAGCTAACCTAACCAACAACTAAAGATATATGACCATAAATAACATTTCTATTTCCAACTCCACAACTTTTAAGTCAGCATCACAACTGACTGCAGTGTGACCATAAAGAGTGTCATTCAAAACATATGGAACTGACAAATGTCCTTTGAAGGTTTGGTTAAAAATTAGGAAATATTCAAGAATTGCAATTATCAGAGAAGTCAGTTTTATACTTCTCACAAGCTTTCTAAGTATCTGTTTGGTTGGGGTAATAAAACTCTGCTAAGTGCTAAATTCTTGCATTTATTGTTCCACAGATATCAGCAGTGACACATTTAGAAGAAGATATGCAATACCCACTTCAGCCTTGGCAGGAGAAAGTCTTGAGAAGCATTTAACAAATGAATCATGGCAGCCTCCAATAGAAAAAGAAGACAATGGCTTACAACCTCATAGGCAGAGACATTTTATTACAAGCTCATCATCCAAGCCTTGTGAGCCTGAGGAACGCTATGTACAAAAGATTGTACGAAAACATAGATCAAAATATGATGATCCTTGCGGACTGTTAAAACAGAGCAGACCTAGACATTTTCAGCCAAACAATTCTCTTATCTGTAAATATGTGCCCTGTGATCAATTTGAAGATTACATGAAAGAAAAGCCAAATCGTAGACAACACTCAAAGCCTGAGAAAGAGCAAATCCAAATTAACAGCGCAATAGAAAAATTTCTTACGAGTGAGGACAACATAGATTTATCAGGATTATCAACAAAAATCAAGAAAGCATATTCCCCAAAGAGGGTTAGTGTCCATGATCCTGATTTAGTAGAAATAAATAGGTCAATGATGTCACCCAAAACATCAACCCCTTGGAAACGACAGAAAAATCAAAGTAACCAGCTGACTAAGTTGGGTGTCAAAAACTGTAGCAACCCTGGGGAGAGAAACAAAGGAGAAAAATGGTTTACTAATTCACAGGTTCTGAGAAGGAAGAGAACCCTTCAGCCTGACCTCAAAGGGAAAATTAAAGGACGAAACTTAAAGATAAAATTAAATTTACATCCTTTTAGAAAAGTCAGAGTCCATCCAGAAAAATCCTTGTCAGGTCTCCCAAAGCAATGCAAGCAAGTATTGTTGCCTCCTAAGAAATTATCCAAAACTTCTGAGACAAAAGCCAAAATAAATACTGTGTCTTCTGCAGATTTTCTTCAACAGTCAGAGAGTAGCAACTATGTTAGACTCACTTCAAAGCGGCTGCCTCTGAAACATGCCTCAAAGCAGACCCCATATTACCAACGAAACACTAAACGTGCCCCGCTGCTCAGTGCTAACAACTTGTCTGTAGTCAACCAGAGCTCTATAGAAAGCAACTGTTATTCAGCTGGCCACATTCCTGATGGAAACACATCAAAATTGCCTCAGCCTACACCCACTGATGCTGAGCACAGGCACTCACATTCTCAATTCTCAACTGAACAAATGGAAGGTGCAACTCAGCTTGAATCAAAAGTGCTTAGTTATTTACCAACTACTTGGGAAAATACAGGAAGTGATGTTTTACCATTCCAGCATTCCACGGGGGCTACTGACCAACGGACAACGGAGTCCACTGAGCACATGGGACAGAATGTATCAAAGACCAGCGAGCTAAATCAGTTTTCTTTGTCCCCGAGGAATCAAACACAACTTTTAGATGCTCACAAGACTGACAGCTACAACAAGGAATACACTTTAGATCAAAATGAAGCCTTACAACACAGAGAGGAAAATTCAACTCATACACAACTTGGAGATAAAGAAAAAACATTAATGACAAAACCCCAAATACCACATCAAATTGTGGAAAATTGTATTACGGATAAGGAAGAAAATGATGTAGAAAAAAAACTTTCAAAAACAGATACTTGTGATTCCTCTCTCATTCCCCAAACACGATCCAAGAACAACCTATCATTTATGAAGACAAATTCAATTCCATACCAAAATAGAATAGAACTTCCCAAGGATATCAGTACTTCTCCTGTTAGTAGTCAAGCCATTTGGCACCTAACCAATAGTAGCGAAAAAGGAATTGACAGCACAAATGCATTGCCCAGAAATGACGGCACTGAAGCACTAGAGATAAAAATAGTAGGGAAAGAAGAGAAAAATATGCTTGATGAAAGCAAGACAGATTCTAGTATGTTAATTCAGATCACACAAATGACCTTAAAAGGCACCACAAAAGAAAGGCAGCAAACTTGGGAAAATGGAACAAGTGTAAAACATGTATTATATGATGCAAGCTCTGCCAAGGAGACCATTACAGCTAAAGATTTAACTATCGCAAGTTCCCATGAAACCCAAAATAGAATACTTTGCAGTGAAGTAGATCCTGAAATTAACAGTAATATGCATAATTTTAGAGAATTTCAAAATATTCAACCAGATAAAGATAGTGCATACAAAGAAGGCGCAATGACAGTGGAGACACATGAAGCACTTTCCTTCTTACCAGGGTTAAAAGACAGTTTTGAGGCAGAAAATGAAGTGTTTTTAGTTCCTAGAAGAATAAATGAAGCTGAAAGCTCTGCTCCAAAACCTGCACTGTATCCACCATCTGCTGAATATGCTACTACATCACCTTTAGAAGCAGAATAAAGTGAAGAAAATAACTCAAATAGTAATTATTTTCTACTTTAGCTTTCTTCAAGAGGACACACAAACACCCCTTAGCCTTTGCATGCATTACAAATGCATCATTTTGGAGGATAACGATGTCCTCAGTAGCTCTTTGTTATCAATAAAATAAAACCACAGAGTTGAATATATGACAAAAATCCAAGATAGAGTCATAGGATATGTCTGACACAATTAACTGAGTATGCTTCTCGAAGGAATGAAAAACCAAGTAAGAAAAGTTTGGCCAAGTCTTGCAAAAGCAAGCAAACATTGAAAAAGCAAAAAAACAAAAGCCTCAAAAAAATGAAAGACTACATAAGAAGAGTATTTGAGCAGATTTACATTTGATGTTTATTTTATGTAAATTATTATACACATCTCAATTAGTGGTATTACAATATTGCTTTCTACATGGATAATTATATATTCATATTTGCGTTTGATCCGTTTTCCTAATTATAGTATGAAAATAAAAATTCAGCTTTGTTAACTGTAGTCTAACTGATATGCATATTGGCATATTTCATACATTTGCAATTGTCCTGTTGACAATTATCTTAGATTTAAGTAGAAGTCTTTAAAACCTGTTATTTCTCTAAGAGAAAAAAGTTGAGGATTTCCAGGGATAGTTGGCTGTTTCCATAAAAATCTGCAAAATCCAATAAATCCACTAGGTGGAGATCTCAGCTTCAATCATTTTAGAAGAACAGGGCTTGAAGATCAACACAATGGATCCTGAACAAAAGGAATTTTAATGAGCTTTATTGCCAATTGTTATTAATTTAAGATTTTGAAAACTAAATAACCTATTAGTACATAGCTTTCAAGTTTGATCTCTTGGGTTTCGCATGCTGCTATTGTTTGGAGTGAGAACTCCTCCTTGTACACTGGAATTAAATGTGAATATAAATATTACATTTAAAAATAGTAGCAGAACAAACATGTCTCATTCAAAGCCATGCTTATTTGAAAAATATATATAGGGATTCAAATAATTTAATTTTTGAGACCACTGTAAAAAATATTTAAAGCATACCTTCACGGTTTAGAATATTATCATATTTTACATTTTTTAGTAGGGGAACAAAAAGGTTAAAAGGGAAACAAACTTCCTTTTCTCGTATCTGTATACCTGTCTAGGTCTATACATCTTTATATCTACATTTGGTATAATAATAATAATAAATAAGCTTTGTAAACCTTATAAGATTATTAGAACAATATAAATATAGCCCACATACCTCACCTCTTTTGTTTCCCTTCCTATTCAGAATTGCTAGGAAATGACTTAAGTTGTTTATTTTGAAAGTTCCTAAACTTCTTACCTCTCTTCGTCTTTTCTCACCAATATTCAAGACTTTATTGCTTTTAATCCTAATTCCTCTGGTATTTTTGTTCATTATCTCTGCTTGAGCTTAACTCCTATGCCACCTATCTGCCTTGCCTGATCCCACTTTATTTTTAAAGCACCTTTAAGGTGAGAGAAGTATCTATGCCAACTTCTTGCATGATAAGTTTATTCCACCCTAATTGACGGCTTCTTCATCTTTGTAGACCAGGTCACTTTTTTTTTCTTGGTAGCTATCTTTCCTTTTCCTTTTTCCTTTTTTTCTACTTTAAAGCACTGTCACCTTACTGCAGCACCTTTAGCTTTGTTCTCTCTCCTCTCGCTGCCAACAATATCCCTGATATCTAGAGGCCTAATGAGTACTCTTGGTCACTAGCTGACTCTCAGGAGGCAGCAGTGCTAGTTCTCCTGGTCTCTTTTCTCTCTTCCATTTCTGAAATTCAGTCTTTTATCTCTTTATGATGTTTCCTTTGAAATCGTTCTCAGGTTTACCCTTGCCCTTGAATCTCCATGGTAACCATTGTAGTCTGTGTGTTGTAATCAACTGGATTACTCAAACAGCAATCCAGCTGGCTGCTCCAACTTCATTGTCTTTTGCTTGAGTTTCAACCCATCAGTTCTCTGTCTTTGTTGGGCACAAATCACCTGGGGTGCTTGTTAAAATGTGGCGTTTCAGGCTCAATGTCAGAGATTTTCATTCAGTAAACTTAGGATAGGGCCCCAGAATCTTTGTTTCAACAAACATTCTAAGGTAATCTGTAACCCACAGTTCGCAGCCAAATATTAAGAAACAATGCTCAGCTATTCCAGTGAGCATTAGAAGATAATTCGGCGCTTGCCTTACTATAGGAACTACATACAATTTTTTAAGTAAGTAAATAAATCCTTTGTATCAAACTCAGATGAACTTTCTAAAAAATTACTTTTATCTTGTCACTGCTTTAGAGATAAAAATACAATTGCCAAAATTCCATGTCCAAATTTCCTGTTCTAGTTTCCAAAATCTGTCACTATCTAATATCAGGCTTTTTTTTTTTTCTTCTTCTTCTTCTTTTTTTTTTTCTTTTTTTTACCTCTTACTGTTTTCCAACCTTCTCCCACCTTCAATAGACTGGTCTTCTTACTCTCCTCAATGTTCTAGTTTATGAATTTTGACTAAGAAGACACCCTGGAGAAAATACTGTGCTTCAAATTCAAGGAATGAGGTAAAGACAGATATACCAGAAAAAATGAGAAGCAAAGTTGATAACCTAGAAAGTAATGACCAGGATAGCATGATGTTAGTGTCCTCCATCTAAAGATGAACTTGTTTCAAATAATGCCTGATACAGAGATTTAACCTCTCCATGACTACAATGTTGCAACTGCTACTAGTCTTTCCCTTGTATCTGTTCTCCCAGTGAATTTTCACATGTTCTAGCTGCTTAAACTGTTCTTTCTCACCAAGCTGTCTTCTTTCAGAAAACTCCTGTTTATGATTTCAGCTCAAGTGTTACTCTTTTTGGGAAGCCTTCACTAACCTACATTCTGACTTTGTCCCCCAACTTGCTTGTAGTATTCTTTTAGTATACATTCTCACAGAGTTTTGTCTTTCTTAACCTTGGCAGGTAACTATGGAATCATTAATGTGTTTATTCAATCAATCTCCATATAACTACCAGGTCTTAAACTCCATTTCAGTTATGAGTTTCCATCTCTATTGAATCCCTTGCCCCTATCCCTAGAAGGTATACAGGAGGAACCCAACAAATAATTGTTGAAGGAAATAATGAAAAATAGCCGATTGTTTCCTTTTCTTTGCCACTCAGCTTGCTGACATGGTAAAGACCTTACTTGGCAATTAAGGAAGACTCAAATGTGTCACATACAGAAGCAGCTCAACTTCACAATACTGAGGTGGTTGCCAGAGCCAAGTCAGGCTCAACTTACTGGCAGACCCACATATCGCAAGTCAGTTGAAGATTTTGCTTTCCTAATATGGTTTTTCTCTATCTTCCCCTCTGCATCTCATCAGCAGAACAAAGACTCTGTGCTAATAGCAATACAACTTTTCTGCTAAGCAATCGATTTTTGTCTTTTTTTTTTTTTTTTTTAACAGAATCCTTCTTTGGCCATGTTCCAATTTCTGTTTCTCATTTCCCAACCTTTTGCTTAAGACATCCGTTCTATTAAAAAAAAAAAAAAGCTTTTAGGACCTGCCAATGACTTACCTTTATCTTGAAATTAGAAATTCCACACGCCTGTTATCTATAATTATGAAGAGGCACTTCATCAAAGCAAAAGGGATTCCCTTGATTGTTATTTGATGGTAAACTTTGTCATAGCTCACATCCCACAGAGAGAAGGAAATTCTAGAATAGGTGCTTGACATACTTTTTCTGAGAAAATATGCCTGAAGTTCATACTGAAATACAAGAAAAGGTTTTCCTAAACTATTTTATGTGATGTAATTTTCAAGAAGACATTTTCTGGACATCAAAATTCAGATGCAGGGATTGAAGGCACTGATAGGCAATAGTGGTATTCATTCATTTACTCAGCAAACATTCTTGAGCATCTAACTTTAGATGTTAGTGTTATAGCAGTGAACAAAATAAAAGAAAACAAAAAGCCCCTGCTTTCATGGAGCTAACATTTTGGTAGTGATGGAAGATTCTAAACAAATAAACATGTAACATATCAGGTTGAATGGCCCGGATAAGAGGTTATCTTCTGAGATACTCAATCCATCCCAAAACGATCTTCATTTTTTCTTCTTAAGAGTTTCTGTGTACACAGATGAGACTGGGTAATGACTTGGTCTGGATTTTGCCTTTAGGAAAAGAATGGAAAACTTGTTTTCTCTTTTCAAACATCTGGACTGGGGCTTATTCTATTTCTCCTAAGTGATTTCCTGAAATAATAACAGCCTCACTTTATCTATTCTCTTGTTGAAGAGAGATAAAGTGCCTAGGAAGGATCAGAAACAAAGTTATATTTTAAGAGGACAATAACTAGGATGGTCCTCCAGTGTGAAGAATGCAAACTAATATTCTCCACTCTGAGCAATGGAATTAATGGATTGATATCAAAACACAAGGATTTTAAAAGACAAAATATACTGGCAGAAAGATTACTAGACACTGGACTGGACTGTGTTACTAGGAAAGAAGTTGTACAATCTCCTCTGTGAATCTCTGAGAACAAAGCAGGCATAACCTGTCTGCACACTTAAGAATCCTTTCTTGTAGGCGGATTGTCTGGAATTTCATTCTGTGATAACATTCCCTCACTATTCTTTTAGACCTATGACCATATTTAAAAATTTATTTTAGTGTTTACATATCCCTTCCGTAACATTGATCACTCCATTTGAGTTCTAAGTCTATGCTGTTAACCACATCATGATACTATCACTCAGAAAGTTAGAGAGGGATTAGGACCCAGGTCTTCTGCCTCCCACAGTGCTCCTGAAGACCACCTATTCCGAGGCCTGCCTCATGTTTAAAAGCCAACACAAATCCATCCTGTGCCAAATTTCTTGCTTTGGAAAATGACTAAGTGTGGCTCACGCATAGTTAATAAAAATTGCAGCTGAGATGAGACTGTGAGTCATCTGTCATACCCTGGTCTCTCTTTTACTAATCAGTTGTGAGAAACGTTTCAAAATCAGAAAGCAGCAGCTAAGAAATATGAGATACTCAGACTTCTTGAGGCAATTAGAGACTAAAGAGCAGAAGGCAAATCAGTCTTCCCGCCTTGACAGTCTTAAAATACACACTGAAAGTAGACTTTGGAGTTATACTATTTGTGACAGATTTTGACCATAACACATTTTCTAAGAGGAAATAAAAATTACTCACTTCAGGACATGCGTTCCACCCTCGTATCAGCAGAGATGATACAGGCTTGGGAATGGAATAGCCAATGGGAGGTCTGATGTGGTGGTAAGCCATGTCTGCTGCCGCAGCCGCTGCAAACCAAATGGTCATTTCAGTTTTGAAATTCACATATTTATTTCAAGAAACAAATGAAGAGACAAACACACACACACTAAAGGCATTAAAAATCAATCTGAGCAATATCAGCAGAGATTCAAAGAGACTTCTAGGCCTTTTTCCCCCCAATGGTATAAATAAGTGATGGATAATTTGATACTATAAATTTATCTTTATAATTGTTCATTCATTTGGTTTCAGACTCAATAAATAGCAGAAGGCATTTATAAGGAGTGAAGGAATATGCAAGGAGCAAGTCGTTTTGTTTGAAGTATAGGGTATGTACATGATATTATAAGAAGTAAAGATTGAAAGGCAGATTAAACAAGACTGTATAATGCCATAAATCCTAGGCTAAAGAGCTTATATTGCATGTAGTAAACATGGAATACCACTGAAATTTCCACTTCTGATAGCACCTGTATCATTGAGCAAAATAGATTTTTTAAAGCTTAAATCCTATTACTGGTTATAAGGTTGTTGGGATTTTAGTTTTTAATTTTATAAAGTAGTTATTATTTTTAAAACTCTCTTGGACACTTCACATCCTTATTTTAGCTAACGATACTCATTGATTGAATTCTGTCGTGTTGCCTGCCTGCATGGATTTCTGAATATTGCTCATCTCAATGTCTGCATCACTGTGTTGTGATTCTTAGAACTTCACTGTAGATTCCTGATTGCTAAATATTTCCTGTTCTGCAACCAATGATTTCTATACTCTCTTAGAAACCAAGCTTGTAGCTACTTTTACTGAATGCATTTTGTATCAGGCATCATGGCAGGTAACTATATAAACTCCTTTAATCCTCCTAACAACCATGCAAAGTAGGTGGTGGTGGTGGTGGTGGTGTGTGTGGAACTAGTTTTTAATGTATAAACATTTTACATATAACTAGTAGTTGGTGCAGACTTTTGTTTCAAAATTCATGGTCTCTTCAGCACACATTATAATGAAAATACTCTGCAATCAACACATGATGCCCTGTTATATCTCACACAAATTGCTCTGCATCAGTGAAAGGATAAAGTTCCAGGACATTGCTGCTTCCTATCTTTTAGATTGTGGCGTTGTAAGCATCTGTCTATATCTTAATGACTTTTGAGATATAAGCCACAACTACTGCCTCTACTCTACCAAAATTTACTCCCATCAAATTCTGTTTATCCATACACTTTCAGTAGGTCTAGTGAAATTATATGCAATGTGATTTGATCAACACTTTGCTTTATGGATTATTCTGAATTATTACCTAATTTTGCCAATTGTAAATTAATACTTGTTCTTTGTAGAAGTTTAAAAAATTAAGAGAATTAGAAGGAATAAACGTTATCATTTAGAAGAAACCATTGTTAAAATATTTCATGTATTTCTTATATATTCTTTACGTCATTGACCATATGTCAATATGCAATTATGCAATTCTTTTTTCCTAAATATTAAATAATTAATCTAAGCAATCAAGCATTTTCTTATGTTATTAGCACTCTATGTTAACCTATTTTAATGACACTGCGTTTAGCTTTTAATCATTTCCCAATTTGAGGTTGTTCCAAATTTGGGTGTAAACACTTCAAAGAATATCTTTTCAACACGAGTTGCCAGATTTCATAGATTATTCATTTATGATATTTTGAGGAGTGAAAACGATGTGCCAAAGTGCGTAACTACTTTAAAGACTTCGGTACAACAATTATTCTAACAGTTGTACTAAATTTATACTCTCAACAGCATGTGTGTGAGGGTTATCAATATATCTCATCTGCACCAGAATTAGGTTTTCTCATTTTATAAAACATGTTACTAATTTCAGAGGTAAATACATCCACTCATTTTTTGTTGTTTAGATTGTGTTCTTATCAAATATGTCACTCCTTATCAAATGTCTTCTGTGTCACAAAAAATTAGGCATTTTGGTGTACTTTCACTGGTTACTCTTGACTTTTTTTTTTTTTTTTCTCGAGACAGTGTCTCGCTGTGTCACCCAGGCTGGAGTGCAGTAGTGCGATCTGGGCTCACTGCAGCCTTTGCCTCCCGGGATCAAGTGATTCTCCTGCCTCAGCCCCTCCCGAATAGCTGGGACTACTGGCACGTGCCACCAACCCCAGGTAATTTTTTTGTATTTTTAGTGTAGATGGGATTTCACTGTGTTAGTGGTATTGTCTTGCTCTTTTGACCTCGTGATTCTCCTGCCTTGGCCTCCCAAAGTGCTGGGATTACAGGCGTGAGCCACCATGCCCAGCCACTCTTGACTATTTTTAAATTATTTCTGGAATGAGGTAAATCAATAAGCAAACAGACTGGTGCTTAGCAATCATTGATCTTCTAACTTTGCTCTACTTTGTTACCTTATGATCATTTGGATATTGTTGAGCTGGTGTAGCTCTAAGTACATAAGCCAGTATGGTGAGCACATTTAAAATAATTGTACACAGCCTAATGGGTAGGGAGGGACTACTCATAAAATGAGTTAAACTCAGATGCAGGTGCCAGCCATCCCCCTTTGAAACTCTTTTAGATTCTGGTATCAAAAATATAGAGTTACTTGTTTGCTTCTTGGCAGTGTGTCTGGAAAATCAGTTTAAGATGAATGATATTTAATTCTTCATTATTCAAAGTAGATTCTGCAAAGTCTTGGCATCTCCTCCCCTTTGCTTTAAGCACTCTTGGCAGTGATACTACTTATCAGTGCCTCCACCGAAAGTGGGCAACGCAACATGAGGGGGTCATGACATGGAAATTTGTCACCTTGAGATTGTTTTGTCAGTCTTGCTTAAGCAGCCATGCTACACTAACATTTGGGAAATTTTCTGGTATTACAGATTCAGGAAGGCGATTGTCAGCCCATTAATCAAATTTTTACCTTGATTGCTACAAAAAATATGTTAGAGGATTTGTGTAAATGTTGGTTTCTACTTTAAAGAGTGAGACTTTACCATTAAAGGAGAATAAAGCTAAATTTAAAAATATTAATAACTATTTATTGAGCAACTATTATGTTTCAACACTATCCTGAAATATTTATCAATAGTTTAGTAAAAATAATAATCTAGATCTAGAGTAGGAATATCTAATAGAACTTTTTACACTGATAAAAATGTTCTTGTAATCCCAGCACTTTGGGAGGCCAAGGCAGGCAGATCACAAGGTCAGGAGATTGAGACCATTCTGGCTAACACGGTGAAACCCCGTCTCTACTAAAAATACAAAAAATTAGCTGGGCATGCTGGCACACACTGTAGTCCCAGCTACTCGAGGCAGGAGAATCACTTGAACCCAAGGCAGAGGTTGCAGTAAGTCGAGATCATGCCACTGCACTCCAGCCTGGGCGACAGAGCAAGACTCCGTCTCAAAAAAAAAAAAGTTCTACATTGTTCAATATGATAGCATAAAGTTACAGAGCACTTAAAATGTGGCTACTGTGACTGATACATTGAGTTTTTAATTTGTTTAATTTTATTTAATATAAATTTAAACAGTCATGGTAAGTGGCTTTCATATTAAACAACATAATTCTAGAACATAGCTTGCACTCTCATTATCCTGAATAACAAGACCTGAGTTAAACACAGTATTGTGAGTCAGCTGCAGAGTCTATGTAACCATGGTGTCAATTTGTGGATTCAACTTCTCCCTTGTTTGTCAATACTTTATCAGGAAAAGAAAAGACACGAATGGAGACTGTCTATGTTGCTTCTCAAAAGTGACAGACCAGTGAAAAGCTACAGAACAAGCATTCAACACAACACGTGATAACCTCATTCATATATTCATTTGTCAAAATGTACTGACTATTTTATGTAAGTGATAATAAACCAAAAATAATCTGGTGTTATTTTTTTCAATGAAAGTTGGTAAATGAATAAATAAGAAATAAGGGAATGATTAAGTTTTTTCACTGCACGTTATGGTTCAGTCGTTAATTCTAAAATGTGATTCCTTTTGCCTGGAATGTTCTCCCCTACCCCTTTTTCCTTCATAACATCTACTGTCATTTAGGTCTTATCTTTGATTGACTTTTCCTGGGTACCTTCCTACGTACTCCCATAACAATCTGTACTATCATAACATGTATTATACTTAATTGCCTCTTTATTTGTCTGCCTGTGCATATAGATCATAAATGCCTTGAGGTCAGGGACTGTCTTTTAATCATTGTATCTTCTGTGCCTAGCACAGTAATTGGCTATTAATAGGTATTCAAAAGGTATGCATTATTTCCCTTAGGATAATGGCCTCCAGCTACATCCATGTTGCTGCAAAGCACATTATTTTGTTCTTTTTATGGCCATATAGTATTCTATGGTGTATATGTAGCATAGTTTCTTTATCCAATCCTCTGTTGATGTGCACCTAAGTTGATTCCATGTCTTTGCTATTGTAAATAGTAGAGGTCATTATCCAAAGGGAATTAATGCAGGAACAGAAAACCAAATAACACATGTTCTCACCTATAAGTGGGAGCTAAACATTGGGTACACATGGACATAAAGATGAGAACAACAGACACTGCAGACTACTAGAGGGGGAAGGGAGAGAGAGGGGCAAGTTGAAAAACTGCCTATTGGCTGCTATGCTCACTACCTGGTGATGCGATCCATAACCCAAACCTAAGCATCACAATATACCCATGTAGCAAACCTGCACATGTGCCCCCGAATCTAAAATAGAAGTTGAATAATAATAAATTAAACAATTAAAAAGGTAGGCACTAAAAGTGTTATTTAACTGGAACTAATATAAATTCTGGTATATAGGACTCAGTAACATTTACTGAATAAATGAATGAAGATGATAGCTCAATAGCAATAAATATCTTATTCATTATTATGTTTAGAGAACAGGGCACAATGCCTAGCCATCAAGAAACACTGTAGAATGAATATAATGTTTAGTTTAATTCTAGATTACAACATGATCAGGTAAATTACTGAAATCTCGTGGCAAATTTAATCAATAATATTATCTTTCATTAAAAAATATGGGAGGAGGTGCTTTGATAAATTGAAGCAGAGTGACATAATAAGAAGTACCTTTACCAAGGAAATCTGGAGGCCTAATTTTCAGTCTGGCTTTGCTGTAAACTCTCTGGGAGATACTAATTAAGCCAATTTGCCTCATGAACATTAATTTTGTTAAATGTAAGATGAAGCAGGGAAGACATAGTATAATGGTGGCAAGCATGGGCTTTGAAGACAGGGAACCCGAGTATTTAAGTCTTGACTACTCTCTTACATTGATTCTAAAGGAACTTAACCCACACATTACTAGGACTAAATGAGATAATATACATAGAGCTCCAGGCACATTGTTGTCTCTCAGCAAGTGTAGCTGCGTTGTTGCTATTATTATCATCATCTGCACATCTGAGAGTCTCACCATTTCTTTTTGGTTTGAACCTAGAGAACTAGATATAAAAAACATAATTGCATGTTTTCTGTTTTGTTTAGAATGCCAGTTATCTTAGATCCTTTTTAGGTTCTCTTTGGGTATGAATACCAAGTAAAATATTACATTGAGTTACTGCAAATTTTAAGGCTACAACCTATCTCATTGGTCATAAGGCTCAGCTCATAATGCAATATGACTATGCAGACAGAATGACTGAGCAGCTCTCCTTGACAACCTTAATTATCTATACCCCACTTATGGATAAGTTAGTATTAGTTTCTCAGTCCCTAAAGTAACCTTTCACTGTCTTCTGTTTTATAAAATTAAATTTAGAAACTCATATTAAAAAGACTGAAAAGAGAGCAATACACTACAATATTTTGTTAGTAAGTTTTGACCAGTATGAAATTGCCAGAAATATCTTAATTTTTCAACTTTGATTGTGTTTATGTGTGTTCTGAAAAGTATAATTGATTCTACTTCATTGTTTTTAATGGGCAGGGCTGTGGTGAGACAAAGCAAATGTGTTCTACAATCCCAGCAAGAGCTAAGACACATTCTTTGTTAAACTGACACTTTTCAATGATGTATCACCAGAGTGTATAGCATCTGAGAGAGACCATGAGATTGCAATCTTGAGATTGCACTAAGAATGGCTTAATTTTTTAAGCCACATCCCATTCTCATTACATACTGTCAGAAGAATAGATTAATTTGCTCCATTGTCTGTTCTCATTGCAATCTTTGTCAGTGTAATGAAATATTGGAATGTTAATATCAGCTATATTCATAGAAAAATCTCCATCTATTGGCCTGATTTAATCTTTCCAGTGATCTGGGTGGTGATTGGTTGGCTCTGCTCTTTTTAGTGATAAACTGATAAGGATTAGCACAATAAACAAGATTTCAGAACTTCAGCTCACTCCTATTTTCCTGCCGCTTGTCAATGCACAGTCCACACCATCAGTGTGTTTGTATCCTTTGAAGTTATTATATTCAGAATACTTTATGGTCCAAATAATATGTTGAAAAGGACATACTCATGTAATATTTAAGGATGGGTAGTAAACTCAAATGGCTACCAATATGAGACCTGTTGGATATCTGTGTATTTAAATGTACTTTAATTCATATTTTTAAATACCATGTGACGTAAAATGTCTGCAAGCCATATCTGGTTCCCGGACTTCCATTTTGCAACTCTGAGTTAAAGTCTCAATATGAAGTCTCACCAAATCCTGCCTAGAAAAAATTGGCAGATGTTCTTAAATTACTGCTATATGCCAGGTTATAAGAGCCTGGCATTAAGGAATCCCAGGACACAGAGTTAAATCTCTTTGTGAACCAGCTGGCTTCACACAGGAAAACAAAAAGAAAACAAGAGACTCTCTTCTCTGGGCCCAGACTATAATTTGAAAGTGATCCACAAATCTGGGTACCTGGTTATAAGGAAATGGGAATGGATACAATACATATTGATGGATTAATTCATCTCAGCTTTCTTCTTTAGTTGATCATGATGTATTGGAGGAGACAAGCCCAGGAGAGAAATGAAATCTAGGAAGCAGGTGTTGATTTCTTTCTGTAAAATGTATTGAGTATAGCTCTTATTTGCCAGGTTGTGCCAGCTTCTTTTTCATCTTGCCTGGTTCTTCTCTCTCTGTTTGGCTTCACACCTTGGCTCCTTCTCTTTCTAATCTGATCATTTCCCTCCTAAATCTGCTCCTTTTCTTGTATCCATCATTATCATGATGGTTAAGCCAGAAGCCTAGAAGTCTTTCTTGACCTCCTCATTTCCCTTGTGCTCCCACCTCAATCCATTGGGAAGTCCTATTGAAATCTCCCTAAACCAATATGTCCTTTCTCTTTCAAAGCTACTGCTTCAGCTAACGTAATAGATATTTCTTCTAGATGAACTGATTTCTCTGCCTCCAGTTTTGAATTTCTCCAACCCAGCCTTTGCTTTGTTACAAGAGGAGCATTCTAAAATAATAATAAGAGTTGTTCTATATCCCTTCTTAAAACTTTGCAGTGACCTCCATTGATGATACACACAAGGCCTGTGATAGTTCATTTAATGTGTCAACTTGACTGGGCTAAGAGATACCCAGATAGCTGGGAAAATGTTATTTCTAGTGTGTCTGTGAGGGTGCGTCTTGAAGAGATCAGCATTCGAGTCGTAGACTGAGTGTAAAAGATACACCCTCACCAATGTGGGCTGGCATCATCCAATCCCTAGAGGGCCCCAATAGAATCAGGAGGCAGAGGAAGGGTGAATTAGCTCTCTTTTCTGGGGCTGTGACATGCATCTTCTCCTGACTTCAGATATCAGCACTTCAGGTCCTTGGGCCTTCAGACTCTGGAACTTACAGTGGTGACCCTGCTGATTCTCAGGACTTTGAATTCACACTGAATCACATCACTGACTTTCCGGGTTCTCTGGTTCGCAGACAGCATATTGTGGGATTTCTTGGCCTTCATAAACATATGAGACAATTCCCACAATAAATCATCTCTTATAGATATAAATAGAAATATTTCACTGGTTCTGCTTCTCTGGAGAACCCTGAGTTGTACAAGGACCTTCAACATCTGGTTCCAGTTTTACATTTATAGTCTGTGTTGTTTGACTGATGTCCTTGTCTTCTCTGATTCATCCCTACTGAACTGTCTGTGGATTTCTCAGGGCTCTGGACCTTGCCGGTATAGCTTTCTTCTGGATCATCTTACTCACCTCTTCATAGTTTACCTATTTAATTAGTAGACATCTTTTAAAGGTGCATTCAGGTATCATCTGTTCTAAGAAACCTTCCCTGATATCCTTTTACTACCTCCAGTCTGGGTAAAAGGCCCTTCCAGGGAGCATCCTTAGCCCTCTGTGCTTCTCTCTAGTTGAGACTTACTCTGCTGATTTTACTTCTGTCACTCATTCTCTATACTATGAGTAGTTTGATGGCCTGGTCACTGACCTATTCCTCTTTATTTTCTGCTTACTATGGCACAGTTTCTGGCTCATAGAAAGAAAGAACTCTATGGTGGCCTAAAGATAATAATAATAATAGCTAACATTTATTGAATGCTTATTATTGTCAACCACTGCTCTAATCTTTTGAAGTAGGTCTTATTATTATATCCATTTCAAAAATAAATGAATGCTGGTGAGGATGCAAAGAAATGGGAACTCTCATAAACTGTTAGTGGGAATGTTAATTAGTACAGCCACTGCAATGGAGAACAGCATGGAGGTTTCTCAAAAAACTAACAATTGTACTACCATATTATCCAGCAGTCACACTGTTAGGTATATATTCAAAAGAGAAGAAATCAGTATATCTAAGAGATGGCTGCACTCCCATGTTTACTGCAGCACAATTCAAAATAGTAAAGATTTTGAATCAACCTAAATGTACATCAATAGATAAATGGATAAAGAAAATTTGGTACATATTCATAAGGAATATTATTCAGACATAAAAAGAATGAAATCCTATTTGCAACAACATGGATGGAACTGGAAGTCATTATGTGAAGTGACATAGGCCAGGCACAGAAAGACAAATATCACATGTTCTCGCTTATATGTGGGAGCTTAAATAAAATGAACTCATGGAGATAGAAAGTAGAATGATAGTTACCAGAGGCTGGGAAGGGTAGTGGAGAAGATGAGATAAAGTGGAAACAGTTAATAGATATAAAAATACAGTTAGATAAAATGAATAAGATCTAGTATTCAGTAGCATAATGGAGTGACTATAGTTAACAATAATTTGCTGCATGTTTTAAAACAACAACTAAAGAATGGAATTAGAATGTCCCTAATCCAAAGAAATGATAAATGCTTAAGATAGATATCCCTATTATTCTGGTTTGATCATTACACATTTTATGCCTGAATCAAAACATCACATGTACCCTGTAAATATGTGCAACTATTATGTATCCATAATAACATAAAAGAAAGAATTAAGAATAAAAAATAATAAACTAAAGTATAGGTAGGTTAAATAAATTGCACAAGGTCACAAGACACATGCCAATTCTCTTTAGTCCCTACAGTGTTAGCCTGAAAAATGTTTTCTTTAAAATATTGAATTAATTTCCAACATTAAAAAATGTATAGATTTCTTAATTAACAAGCAGAAATTAGTTGATATGGTCAGCGTGGGTATACCTATGTTCCTGCTCAGTGCTGTTTGGCTGAAGCGTGAGTCAGAGCACGTGATTTCTTATTCAACACACTGTTCAGCCTTGAGCATCTGCATGCTTCCCATGGTCCTGTGTGCATTTGATCTTTTTTATTTGACCTTTAAGGTGGTGGATGTGATGGTTTTTCAGTTTTCCTAAACCTGTGATTACAGGTTGATTTGAACATGTGAGATGCAAAAGAGACCCTAACTTCAAGCTTTTCTGAATGTATACCTATCACTTGTGTAGGAGTCAATGCTAATATTGGTGTTCTTTGTTTATATTTTTCCCAGGAGGTAGTATGCTGCTAAATCCAGAAGGATGAGTCCTGTGTAATGTTGCTACTACAATAATTGATAATGCTGTCTCACTTTGGAGTCATGGATTCGTTCCTCATTGTAAATGGCTAATATGTAGCTTATATTGAATCTGATGCTTCACATAATTTATTGCTGAACATATGCTAGATTGCCTAAACACTGCAATGATATTAGACATCTTGTTTCTTGATTCATGGTAACTGTCCAAGTTTGAAAAATTCAGCATCTATCATAAACAAACTCTCTTTCCAATAAAGTACTATACATTTTAATATCTGGGATATTGGAATAAAATTACTCTTAGGCAAGACTTTCAACATTTTATTAAATATTCTCCCTCTAAAATGGGTAACTATTTCAGGGGTCCATGAACTAAAATCTCAGGGCCATCTTTACCTTTATGGTGACTTGGGATAAGGAGGAAATTGCACATAACTTGATATTGGAGAATTAAGAAAGATTTTTGGAAAGAAATTACATTTAGACCAAGACCTAAAATAAATTGGAGTTAGTGTAATGAAAAGTGGAGAAGAGTGTCTCTGACAAAGAGACTAATGTGCACAAAGGCATGGAGGTAAGAGGAGACATGCTGGGGAAATGAAAGTTTCCTGTGGTTGGGATGACTCTGGATGACAGGCTGCATGTGGTGAGAAGGAGGCCGGGAGGCAGGCAGGGACATAATCATAAGGGGCTTTGAAGATTGTGTTAAGACATATTGTTTTTATCTTAAGAGCAAAAGAAAAACACTGGGAATTTTAAGTCAGAGAAGTGCTATGTTCAAATTTGCATTTTTAGAAAGCTAAATCTAGTGATTGGTGGAAAAAAGATGATGAGCAAGGCTGAAGACAGGATACTATTTAAGACAATGTGCAGTATTCGACATGTGAAATAAGGAAGTAGCTGTGGAAATGGAGATAACTGGATGGATTTGAGAGGTAAACTGTAGAACCAAAAATAGGAAAATAATTTTAAAAAGAAAGAAAGAGATAAATAAAATGAGAACTAAAGAGGAGTCAAGGACGACTTTGAAATTTCTACATGGGCCGCCTAGAGAATGAGAGTGCCACTAAAGTAGAGAATCAAAGGGAGCCTTGACCTTGTGTTACACTTTTCCCTAATCTTGCACCTTACAGAGAGTTTGCAGTTTATAAAGTGTGTTCACAAACATCATCTCATTTAATGCTCACAGTAATTTTTGTGGTAGTCATCATTAATTGCATTTACTGAGGAAACAGAACTTGTGAAAAGGCCTAGAGGTCAGATGAAATGCAACATACTGAGAGTATAGAAAGTGAACTAGTGTTAGTAATGTGAGAGGTACAGAATCAGGGAGAGTTTTACAGGACATAGTAAGAATTTTGAGATTGAATCCTAAGAATATGGGAAGCCATACAATAATTTTAAGCAATGGTAATATATCAGGTTTATGTTTTTAAAATATCATTTCAGTGGATGTTTAGAGATTGGAGAGGAAAAGAAAACAAAAATAAACCAAGAAAGAACAGCCAAAAACAATTTCAGAAGTTCAAGCGATAAAGCTGGCAGTTTGCACTAGGGTGATGGCAGATGAAACATTTTGAGAAACAGACAAAGTTAAGATATATATCTTACCACTTCAATTCAACATTGTACTGGAGGTCCCTGACTGTTCAAAAAGGCAAAGACAGACAGAAAAGAAAGAAAGAAAGAAAGAAAGAAAGAAAGAAAGAAAGAAAGAAAGAAAGAAAGAAAGAAAGAAAGAAAGAAAGAAAGGAAGAGAGAGAGAGAGAGAGAGAGAGAGAGAGAGAAAGAAAGAAAGAAAGAAAGAAAGAAAGAAGGTACAAAAAAGGGAACTAGGATGGACAAGTAAATTTAGTAAGTTTGTGGGGTACTAGATTGTAATAAAACATTATTATATTTCTATATATTAATAGTAGCAAAAAATTGGACATTGATTCATTTTGTTTTATTAAGTTCTCGGGAAACATGTGCAGGATGTGCAGGCTTGTTGCATAGGTAAACATGTATCATGGTGGTTTGCTGCACCTATCAATCCATCACCTAGGTATTAAGCACAGTATACATTAGCTATTTTTCCTGATGCTCTCCCTCCCCCGGCCTTCCCCAACAGGCCCCAGTATGCATTGTTCCCCTCCCTATGTCCATGTGTTCTCATTGTTTAGCTCCCACTTATAAGTGAGAACATGTGGTGTTTGGTTTTCTGTTCCTGTGTTAGTGTTCTGAGGATAATAGCTTCCAGCTCCATCCATGTCCCTGCAAAGGACGTGATCTTGTTCCTTTTTTATAGCAGCGAAATATTCCATGGAGTATATGTACCACATTTTCCTTATCCAATCTATCATTAATGGGCATTTGGGTTGATTCCATCTCTTCCCTATTGTGAATAGTGCTGCAATGAACACAAGCATGCATGTATCTTTATAACAGAATGATTTATATTCCTTTGGGTATAGACCCAGGAATGTGATTACTGGGTCAAATGATACTTCACATTCTAGGCCTTTGAGGAATCACCACATTGTCTTCCACAATGGTTGAACTAATTTACATTCCCACCATCAGTGTAAAAGCATTTCTATTTCTTCATAGCCTCGCCAACATCTGTTGTTTTTTGACTTATTAATAATCGCCATTCTGACTGGCATGAAATCGTGTCTCATTGTGGTTTTGATTTGTATTTCTCTATGATCTGTGATGTTGAGCTTCTTTTTATATGTTTGTTGGCCACACAAATGTCTTCTTTTGAGACATGTCTGTACATGTCCTTTGCCCACTTTTTAATGGGGTTGTTTTTTCATGTAAATTTGTTTAAGTTCCTTGTAGATTGTGGGTATTAGACCTTTTTCAGATAGACAGATAATAAACATTTTCTCCTATTTGGTAGATTGTCTGTTCACTCTGATGATAGTTTCTTTTGCTGTGCAGAAGATCTTTAGTTTAATTAGCTCACATTTGTCAATTTTTGCTTTTGCTGCATTGCTTCTGACATTTTTGTCATAAAATCTTTGTCCATGCTTATGTCTTGAATGATCTTGCCTAGATTTTCTTCTAGGGTTTTTATAGTTTAGCTTTTACATTGGTCTTTAATCCATCTGGAGTTAATATTTTTATAAGGCATAAGGAAGGGGTCCAGTTTCAGTTTTTTGCATATGCCTAGCCAATATTCCCAGCACAATTTATTAAATAGGGAATCCTTTCCCTATTGCTTGTTTTTGTCAGGTTTGTCAAAGATCAGATGGTTATAGATGTGTGGTCTTATTTCTGAGTTATCTATTCTCTCCCATTGGTCTATGTGTCTGTTTTTTGCTTACCAGTACCATGATATTTTGGTTATGTAGTCTTATAGTGTAGTTTGAAGTTGGATACCATGATGCCTCCAGCTTTGTTCTTTTTGCTTAGGATTGTCTTGGCTATATGGGCTCTTTTGGTTCCATATGATTTTTTTTTTTCTAATTCTGTGAAGAATGTCAAAGGTTATTTAATGGTAATAGCATTGAATCTATAAATTACTTTGGGCGGTCTGACCATTTTCATGATATTGATTATTTCTCTCCATGAGCATGGAATGATTTTACATTTATTTGTGTCCTCTCTTATTTCTTTGATCAGTGGTTTGCAGTTCTCCTTGAGGAGGTCCTTCACTTCCCTTGTTAGTTGTATTTCTAGGTATTTTATTTTCTTTATAGCAATTGTGAGTGACAGGTTCATTCACAATTTGCCTCTCTTCTTGTCTATTGTTGGTGTATAGGAATACTTGTGATTTTTGCACATTGATTTGTATCCTGAGACTTTGCTGACATTGCTTAAAGCTCAATAGGTTTTTGGACTGAGACAATGAGGTCTTCTTGACATAGGATCATGTCATCTGCAAACAGAGACAGTGTGACTTTCTCTCTTCCTATTTGAATATGTTTAATTTCTTTCACTTGGCCTGATTGTCCTGGCCAGAACTTCCAATACTATGTTGAATAGGAGTAGTGAGAGAGGGAATACTTGTCTTGTGCCAGTTTTCAAGAGGAATGCTTCCAGCTTTTGCCCATTCAATATGATATTGGCTGTGGGTTTGTCATAAATGGCTCTTATTATTTTGAGGTATGTTCCATCAGTACTTAGTTTATTGAGAGTTTTTAACATGAAGGGATGTTGAATTTTATCAAAGACCTTTTCTGCATCTATTGAGATAATCATGAGGTTTTTGTCTTTAGTTCTGTTTGTGTGATGAATTGCGTTTATTGATTTGCATATGTTGAACCAGCCTTACATCATGGAGATGAAGCCAACTTGACTGTGGTGGATAAGCTTTTTGATGTCCTGCTGGATTTGGTTTGCCAGCATTTTATTGACAATTTTTGCATCAATGTTCATCGGGGATATTGGTCTGAAGTTTTCTTTTTTTGTTATATCTCTGCCAGGTTTTGGTATCAGGATGATGCTGGTCTCATAATATGGATTAGGGAGGAGTCCTTCCTTTTCAATTGTTTGGAATAGTTTCAGAAAATAAGGTACCAGCTCCTCTTTGTACCTCAGTTAGAATTCAGTTGAAATCCTTCTGGTCCTGGGCTTTTTTTTTGGTTGGTAGGCTATTTATTATTGCTTCAATTTCAGAACTTAATATTGGTCTACTCAGGGATTCAACTTCTTCCTGGTTCAGTCTTGCAGGGGTGTACATATCCAGGTATTTATCCATTTCTTCTAGATTTTCTAGTTTATTTGCATAGAGGTATTTATAGTATTTTCTGGTGGTTGTCTGTATTTCTGTGGAGTCAGAAGTATATCCTCTTTATCATTTTTTATTATGCCTATTTGATTATTCTCTTTTCTTCTCTATTGGTCTAGCTAGTGGTCTATCTATTTTATTAAATTTAAAAAAAAAAAAACACCTCGTGGATTCACTGATTTTTTGAAGAGTTTTTTTGTGTCTCTATATCCTCCGGTTCACTCTGATGTTGGTTAGTTCTTTTCTTCTGCTAGTTCTGCTGGTTGTTTTCTCTTGGTTCTCTAGTTCTTTTAGTTGTAATGTTAGGACGTCAATTTGAGATCTTTCTAGCTTTTTGATGTGGGCATTTAGCGCTATAAATTTATCTCTTAACACTGCTTTAGCTGCATCTCAGAGATTCTGCTATGTTGTCTCTTTGTTCTCATTGGTTTCAAGGAACTTCTTGATCTCTGCCTAAATTTCACTTTTTTACCCAGGATTCATTCAGGAGCAGGTTGTTCAATTTTCATATAGTTGTGTGATTTTTAGTGAGTTTCTTAATCTTAAATTCTAATTTGATTGTGCTGTGGCCTTAGAGACTGTTCGTTATGATTTCAGTTCTTTTGCATTGGCTGAGGAGTGTTTTACTTCCAATTAGGACATTGATGTTTTTAAGAGTAATATTTACAATAGCATCAAGAGACACAAAATAAATAGAGATAAGTATAATAAAAGTTATGCAAGGTTTGCATGCTAAAATATGTAATGTATGAAATTTAAGAAGACCTAAGTGAAGATAGAGATAAACCATGTTTATTGAGGAGAAGACTAACATGGTTAAGGTGTTCATTCTTCCCAAATTGATGTAATAATTCAATGCAATAGAATCAAATTCCAACAAACTTTTTATAGGAATATAGACAAGCCAATTCTAAAATTTATATGGAAAAGCAAAAAACTCTAAATGGCCAGAACCTTTTTAACAAAGAAGAACAAAGTTGGAGGATTCACATTACTTAATTACACGACTTATTATAACATATTAAGATAGTGTGGTATTGATTTAAGGGTGGACACATGATCAATGACACAGAATAGAGTCAGAAATGAATGCATACATACATGGTCAACCGATTTTTGAAAAATGTATGAAAATAATTTAATAAGAAAGGATAATATTTTTGAAAAATTATGCCAAAAAATTGGACTTCTATATTAAAAAAACAAATGAACAAACCAAAGAATAACAAGCTCAACCCAAACTGGGTACTTTAAAAAAATAAGAACTCAAAATAGATCTTATAAATATAAAACCTAAACCTGCAACACTTCTATAAAAAAATAGGAGGAAGTTTTTATGGCTTTGAGTAAGGCAAAAATATTTTAGATAGGATACAAATTGATTTAAAATTTTGGTAAGATGGATTTCATTGACATTAAAATTTCATTTTGCTCTTTGAAAGACGTTGCTCAGAATACAAAAAGGCAAGCCACATATTACAGGAAAATCCTTGCAAAACATGCAGCAGATAAAATCCTTTTCCCTATAATCCCTATAATCTAAGAAGTCTTACAACTAAATGATGAGACTTTTTAAGCAAACGTTTCACAAAAGAAATATGGATACCAAATAAGCACATAAAAATGTCAATATTTCTAGTCATTGGAGAAATGTAAATATCACAATGATGTTCCCCACTCAAATGGCTAATATATACATATATATTTAAAAATAGACAATTCAAAGTGCTGGCAAGGATGTCAACTGAAATTCTCACCGACTACTGTTGGAAATTCATAACGGCACAGACACCTTGGAAAAACTCTTATTATAACATGTAGTAATCCATCTGTTACTCATTTATCCAATGGAAACGAAAACAACCACACAAAGGCCTCAATTATTTGAGCAGATTTATTCTTAATTTCTCTAAAATGAGAAGAACTCAAATGGTCATGAACTTCTGTATGCATAAACAAATCATGGCACATCTATAATATGAAATATTACACAGGAGTGAAAAAGAATAAATTACTGATAAATACGGCAACATGATTCCATTTATATGACATTGGTATATAGGCAAGCTTATCTGGACAGAAATGAGCTCATTGGTTGCCAAGGGCTGGAGGTGTGGGAAGTGGATTGATCCCAAACAGGCACTGGGAACTTTTTGGAGTGATAGAAATGTTCTACGTCTTGATTGCAGTTGTGGTTATACGGCTGTATATATTTATTAAAACTCATTGAAATGTTAACCTAGCAAGGTAAATTTTACTGCATATATATTATACCTAAATAAACCCGATTTTTAAAAAGACTATTGCAATGGTTTAAATGATGGTGGTGGATGATGGTAAGTGGTAGAGAAACCCATGTATTAGAAGGTAAAATCAACAGGGCCAGGTTAATGGACTGACACAGGGGATGAGGCAAAAGGAGCTGTATTTCTTTCTTATGAAAAAACGCCACAGTACATTTAAAATTATAATCAGTTTTCTGTATATCCATCAATCTTATCAGGATGCACACTCTAAGAGGTAGAGAGAAGGAAGGACATCAGAACAAGACCTTACAAATGGCAATGTTGTTTCAGCTCAAAACAGAGTCCACACATCCACACTGTAATAAGGGTTAAGTCTAATTTAAAACTATAGAAAATATGTAGAGAAAAATTAGGACAATTACATCACCATTATGCTAAACAAACTATGCACAGAGCACATAACCTATGAAAAGCACTCTGCTATGCAGAGTGTAATTAAAAGACCATATGGTAGCTTGGGGAAAAAAACTCCAAAATAGAGTATGAGATGAGATGAGATGTGGCTTCCTCTCTGTACATGAGACTCATAAATATTTTGATCTTGGTCAAGACTTTTAACTTGTTAAAAGGGATGTTTAAGTAACATCTCTTTTGACTTTATCCTTCTTATATAATGTTATAGGGTGGCCATTAGGAGATTACAATATAATTATTTAAACATTACTTATGATTACATTTGACAACTACTTTACAAGTGTGCTAAGTTTTAGGGATGCAAAGTCCTTAAGGAGATTTGTCTAGTGTGACAAGATATGAAAGCAATCCAAATGCAATTGAGAGATAGATGCAAATGAAGTTTACTTTAAACCTAAAATATGCGTATATTCTACCTGTGATTAGATTCCTCACCTTCACTTTCTACATGTAAGCAAAGCATAATGTGTATCATCAATGAAAGCCAGACTCACTGCATGCTTCATTTTTAGAATGTATCTATATATAGAGAGAGATAGATACATATATATAGATAGATACATATATAGACGCATACACACACACACACACACATATATAATACAAAAATGTTAAGAAAATCAATCTTCTTTTTTATGATGTGAGGTAAGCAGAGAGCAGCCCTAATAGGTTATTTCTGTGTTACTACTTTCTTATCCCTATATACATGTTAAAAGGGCAATTCTAAAATCTAATCTCAAAAAATAAATATCACATTGTCCACCTTATTTGCCCTCACATGCCACATGATCGTAGTTATTTGCTTGTTTTATTAACAATCAATAAGTCAAGTCCTAAACTTTAATATATATTTATACCTGCATTTCTGTGTGTCTGGGTCTGAAATCACGGTTAAGTCATCAAATTTTCTGGGTTGGGCACACACCTTAAAACAATCTGAGATTGTTTGCTTACTTCCTCTTTTGCCATCTCACTGAGACTAATCATTTTGTGAAAAAAAATTTCTTGAAGTTATAAAAATCCAGTGAACTTTGTCAAACAGGAAAACTTCAATTGCAGCGTGTCTTACCTGGCTTGAGATGAGCGAATGGAATTTCGCCAGTGAGAATTTCCCACAGACACAGAGCGTAGCTGAAGACGTCTGCTTTGATGGTGTACCGAGTGCACTGCGTGAACACCTCAGGAGCCATCCAACGGAGGTTCTGCACATCAAGAAACATCCACAAGCCATTTACCAAGTGTTTGGTTCCTCCGCTGCAGAGTAGCATTCTTCTCAGTGAGAATTTGCTGTGTTCTCCCGATGCTCTCAAAAGGCATAAATATAAATTAACATCCATACATATTGATCAACACATTTATACATACACAGTGTGTTTACTGTGGCTGTTCAGTTCCTCAAAGGGCATTTTTTAATCATTGGAAGATCATAAAATTCATAATTCTTCCTAAAACATCACACCAGCAATTAATCATCAAGTAACTCTGCCTCTTATACAATGAGAGGCAGTATTATTTTTTTTTAAATCTATAAACATCTTTCTCCCTTAGAAGCCTTCAAGGTTCAGAATAGCCAACCATGGATTCATCTAGGGACCCTATGTCTCCCTGGGAGTGAATCACACTCTGTGGGAGGCACCTCCTGCAAGTCTTCAGGTTGTAATTTAGGAAGTTACTAAATTAGGCCCATAAATAGTGCGCTCATGGCTGAGAAGAGAAATGGCTCCAGAGGAGTGCCCAGAATATTCCTATGAAGTAGATTTATCACTGGCAGGAGCAGGTCTGTCTTATTTTCTCTGCCCAGATGTGCTATTTATGAATGCTGTTTGTGCAATATCCTGGAAAGGAAGCCCATAAAATATTACAAGTCCCTTCATGCAAAGTTCTAGCCTCTGTTTTGATGAAATTATGTACATTCTTTTCATTTGTGACTTCCCATTTTTCAGTTAAAAAAATTAGTTTCCATTTTGGGATGCAAATGCATAAATTCAGTTGATTTCTAGTTTAGGGCACAGAACACTGGGTTTTGAGTTAGGAGATGAAAATTCTAGTTCTGGCTCTACCACTTACTGAACAGCTCTGGGCAAGTCTCATGTTTCCTGGACCTCAGATTCCTCAAGGACAAAGCAGAGGAGCCACACCCTCCCAGTTCTAAATCACCACGGCACCTTATCTTACAAATAAACTTTGCTAAACACTTTTAAATATCCATTGAAGGAAACCATTATTCTTTTATCACTCTTACCAAAATCTTGTGTGTAGTGTTGGTTGCTAGTTCTTTTGAAATGTACACCTTATTTTGAAATCAAGCATAGTTACAGCTTTCCAATAATATCTTTATTCTTATTATGGTGCTCATATGCAATTTTTCTGCATGAGCTTCCACATTCCAGAGAGCATCCATTTTTATAGCAAATTATGCATTGTGTCACAACATTGTATATGTGGGAGCAGGTACACAGTATGCCCGTTTTTGCACAGAGGGGTCATAGAGTGATTAGATAACATACATAAAGCCACAGAACTAATAAGAAGCAAAACAGCTTTCAAAATAAATTTCAAATTAACTCTCTTATTCTAGCAGCATAGTCTTTAAGCACAGCACTAATTTATTTATTAGCACTAATTTATTTATTTATTAGTGCTGTGCTTAAAGACTATGCTGCTAGAATAAGAGAGTTAATATTACCTGCTGTTGGTTAAATTCAATTTAATTACATTCAACAAAAGTTTATTTAGTTGGAGAGTCTCAACTAACTGCTTTTTAGAATTATGTGGGGGAATTTTTAAAAGATGCAGTTACTCAAGATCAATCTTAGGCCAATAAAATCATAATTTCTAGGGATCAGATTCAGGTACTATGCTTAAAAAAGTTTCTAAACTTATTTTAATGTGCACCTAGGGTTGAGGACCACTAATTTAGCTGCCTCTATGTCCCATGTCTTGGATGAGCTTTGTGTCCTGCCAAAAGATCACTCATTGTTCCCACCTCCCTCACCTCATAAACTGCCACTTTCCTCCTTGATCACCTCACTCCGGCCACGCTGACTTTGAACACACCAAGAACTTTCCTGCCCCAGGACCTCTGCACTTACTATTGCCCCCACCTGCATAGCTCTCCCGCCACGTAGATTACTCCCTTGTCAGGCCTCTTATTAAATGTTAACTTTTTCCTTCATCCTATCTAAATGGCATCCTCATCACTCTCCATTCATTTACTCTGCTTTCATTTTTCTTCATAACACTCATCACTGCCTGAGATATATTTTGTTAATTTGTCCAGTATTTATCCCCTTCCAGTAGAATATTAGCTCCATAGGAACAAGAACTTAGTTGATGTTGCAAAGAATGAATCAGAAGAGAGGACTGGAGTTACAAGCCTGTTGTGATACTAGTCCAGAAAAGAAATGATGAGAATCTGAACTGAAGCAGCAAGAAATGAGAGGTTTAAGAGGTTAAGATGAACTTAAAGAAGAAAAGAAAGAGACATCCAGAAAAGGTGACTGAGTGTAAGCAGAAGCAGGAAAGGGAAGGAATGAAAAATTACTCCAGGCTTAGGTAATTAGTTATCACAAGTAGTCCAGAAAGAGAAGTCTACTTTTTTTCAGGGGGAGGGATTGGGGAGAGTAAAGGAGAGGGCAGGTAATGAATTTAATTGCAGACATTTTGAGTACAATTATTTGAGTACAATTATCCTTGCTTCAGATATTATAATTTATATTTTACTTAAACATTAATACTTGGATATACCACTTATTACCTTACAATGGTAAAGTGGAGAACGATGAATAGTTAATAGATGCTGATGAACTACCAATTTTATAGTGAGTTCCCTATTAAATGTTAACTCCACTATAAGTAGTTAGGTGATCTAAATATGAAATGATCCATGCCCACCACGTTCTTTTCAGTTACCTTTGAAACATGTTCTATAGTATTTTATCCATAATGTTTTCCAAATATATATCTTATCTATTTCTCTAGTAGAACCTTGAGATAGTTATTTTGAAAGCTTACTAAAAATAAAAACATAAGCCATTATCCTGACACTGAGACAATGACATTTCTTCCAGTTAAAACTGTTCTCATCTTACGTCCTCTCACGCTGAGTTTACACATTTTAATTGGTTTATAATTATAGGAAACACAAGCAGCAGCAAACCCCAGGTTGTTTTGTCATGTTGTCTTCATCCAGAGACTGTAGAAATCTTGATTCTGAGGGAAAGAGAAAATAAACCACGTCAAAGGAAATATCTTAAAACCAAGGTCAACAATCACAGCTAAAATTTTGAAACCTCAAGAAACTTCTGTCTTTTTCAAATTCTCACTTCCCTTCTCTTGGCTGGAGATAACAAAGAAGAAAAACTAGAAATAAATGACAGAGTTTCAAAATGTAGGGTCACTGAAATTTGAATGATTTAGAGTAGGATAGCTGTCAGTGTTCGGTGTTCAGTTTCACGCTAGAATATCAGGTGCCCAGTAGGAACAAAATAAAAAAGGATGCCATTTGGGGTATTACTCATGGAAATCTCACCTCCAAAATCTGCCACCACAGCATGCCCGTCCTCATAGAGAAGAATATTGTGACTGTAAAAAAAAAAAAAAAAAAAAAAGTAGACATTGAGTAAGCTTTGCTATGTCCTAATCTAATTGGTCCCTCAAAGAAGAGGACCATAGACATCATTTGTTTGCCCTAGAGACTAAATTGGCCCCAAAGGGCTAAATCAAATTTTTTTAGTTTTGCTGATTCAAAATAGCTATTTATAAAATGTAATCATGTTTATACTTTATCTAATGTTGAAGGTATAAAGAATTCCTACTTTAGACAAACCCTCTAAACTTGTCAAAAAGACCCATCAGCTGAAGATCAGTTTCTCAGCTCCTTGAGGCTCATTTGCTAACACAATTGTGGTTACAAGGAAAGAGTGAAAAGCATCATGGGCCTATTAGAGTTTGAGCAAGAGAACCAGCTTGCTGGAACCCTAGGCACAAGGACAGTTCAAGACAAGGCCTGAAATGAATGTAGCAAAAGGATTCCCTATGGAAAATGCCATCATCAATACATTCTAGATACAATCTCAGCACAAAGGAGTGTTTTGAGATCTGTGAAATGATGCCAGCTAAACCACTTTTTAAGGTTTTGAGGAGAATAGCATAAAGGTCACCAAAGTCCCCCTTCAACCAAGAATTCAAGTTAGATTAAGAACAGTGTCAGAGTAGATCTTAAATGTTCTCACAACACACACAAAAAGGTAGCCATATGAGGTGGATAGATATGTTAATTAGCCTGATTATGGTAATCATTTCACAAGGTATACATAAGTCACATCACCTTGTACATCATATGTATAACTTTTGTTTTTAATTACACCTCAATAAGGGCAGAAAAAAGAGTGTCCTTTTTAAGAAGTAAATCAAACCTGAGATAGTCCAAGGAGAGGTTACTCTTCCCCAAAATTAGTAAATTTAGTTGTGGACTATCTTACAGACATGCATATGATAGTCCAAGATTGTCTTTGAATGCTTCTTACCATATGTCTTTGATGCTCATTTCACATTTGGCTTTTAAATGAGTCTTTTCAGTATTAGGAGATTGCCACTGGATTTTTTTAGTGCATATGGGCTATATTATATTTATTTTATAATAAATTACATAATGTTCCTTTATCCTTAATTATTTTGCTTCATGGTCAAAACATGAAAAACACCACTATTTCTTAATCTTGAGTGAGTCCAATATGATATTGAATCACTTTATATAATTGCTTTCCCACCTTGACTTGACCTTTACAAAAAAAGTTACTTTTGAACTTCTTTTGTAATTGCTACCGATTTTGTCTTTGGAGTATAGATAACCTTCTTTTAAATTACAGAAAATCTAAAATACGTTAAAATCATATTTCTTGTAGTAGCGCGGTGTAGAAGTATTCCAGGATGTCAAACAAAACAGAGACCTCCAACATGATGTCTTTAACAACAAATTACTAATGAATATACATGATGAGAACGAGACTGTCCTGTCAGAGAATGCTACAGCACCAGGAGCTCTCTGGAAGTTCAAATGCAACACAAAAAGTGCATCTACACGCTGTACTACTTGATAGAGTCGGTTAAGAAAGGGATTAGCTAGGCCGGGCGCGGTGGCTCAAGCCTGTAATCCCAGCACTTTGGGAGGCCGAGACGGGCGGATCACTAGGTCAGGAGATCGAGACCATCCTGGCGAACACGGTGAAACCCCGTCTCTACTAAAAAATACAAAAAACTAGCCGGGTGAGGCGGCGGACGCCTGTAGTCCCAGCTACTCGGGAGGCTGAGGCAGGAGAATGGCGTAAACCTGGGGGGCGGAGCTTGCAGTGAGCTGAGATACGGCCACTGCACTCCAGCCCGGGCGACAGAGCCAGACTCCGTCTCAAAAAAAAACAAAAAAAAAAAAAAAAAAAGAAAGGGATTAGCTTTGAAGTGGGCTTTGAAGAACAGTCAGTTTGTAAGTGTATAAATATGTGCTGAGACTTTATCATGTGCCAGGAAAATTTCTGTATACTGGAAAACAGTGGTGAACAAGACAGGCAAAGACTGAATTTATACGGTAGTGTAAAGGAGATGAGGCTGGAAGAGACAAAGGGGGAAATGAATTCTAGATTGGGGAAAGATCTTGGCAAAGGGCAAGAATTGGGAGTGTGTGTAGTATGCAATAGGAATTATACTAAAAATGTACTTATTAATCAGTGCATGCTAAAAAATAATGAGGGAATATTTGGGTGAAAGTGGTGTTGAACTGCTAGGGAATTTGAAATTAGAGAACAATTCTGGACTTGATGCAGGATGTCAGAAAGCACTAGTACAGGTTTTTATGTATATATTTTAATACTCTGAAATCACAGACTATTTCCGAATAACTTTAGAATGCAGTTACCAAATGACTAAAGTGCGAAGGTAGAGTAGAAAAAAGAAAGCAGTGGAGTGGATTCACCAAAACATCTGAGAGAAGTGTCTATATCTGGGAGCAGTTTAAATATTAGAGGCTAAAAGACAATGACAACAATAACAACAGCAACAAAAACAAAGATAACCTCCAAAATTCTAGCTTGGCCTTCTGACTACAAAGCAATAATATACACAGTGAGAAAGAGCCAGAAAACCTGGCAACTTTTATGAATAGAATAGTGGCTTACTTGGGAGTTTGTGGAACTTGAGTCAGAGTTATGCTTGGGAAGATTAGACGCACCTGATAAACAACTATAACATTTATCATATTGAAGTCACATTCAAAGTGAACTCTTATGTTTAAAAAACAGTAACAAGTCAAATAAAACACAGGATGCAGTGACAGTTTAGGAACACAGGACAATGCGAGTTCATAGCAATAAATGGGTCTAAATGTCAAAAAGGATGCCATGAAAGTGACTTTGCAGAATGAGACTTAGCAAGTGCTAGAATAAAGTGAAAGTTTCTCTTCACTTCAAGATAGTCTTGGATTTGTCCACTCCTTCTCTAACCACTCAGTAATAATGAAAACTAAATTGTAAAACCATCTCTAAGATTCTTTCACTCATTTTTTCCCACTTTGAAGTAAGCTGTGCTTCCTATATGGAGTGAAATTCATGAAGGGGAGCAGGCAGGGTTGAAGCTGAGAGAACCTGTGCCAATCAGTCACAGTGACCTAGCTTCAGTGGGCATCACACCCAGAGTCAAAGCCTCTAGAGTCAGGGAGGTTGAGTGAAGGGTCAGCAATGTCAGGTTTGAGGATACCAGGGAAGGAGAAGAGCTTGGAGCTGAAGCCAGCTAGGACAACAGAGCTGGTGCAATTATTATTAAAGATGAGTTCAAGAGTTTATTACTGAGAGATGTCATGAGCTACAAGTTTGGAGCAGTGTAAAGATTGTGGGAATGTAGAAGCAGTGGCACAGAGGGTGGCAGTGCAGAGAGAAGGGAGTAAATATTGAGTGAGGGTCTCCTGTGAGCAGGCACTGGTGTTTTCAACGTTTTTCCATTCCTCATGGAGCCACTATGGAGATGGTATTAGCATACCTATTTTACAGATGGATAATTGAGGCTAGAGAGGTGAAATCAGTGTCCCTTACCATAGCCGGAAAGAGGTGGAGCCAGGATTCAGTCTCCAAAACTTCCCTGTTTTAGGAGAAGCTGATTCTCATACCAACCATACCCAAAGAAGGAGTCAGGACTGCTGTAATTAGATGTCTGGAAATAAATTCCAGAAATCTTGTTTGGGTGAAGTCAGGCCTACCAGCTAGTGCCCAAAATACCTGTTTTCAATATGTTACTGTAAGGTGATGAGACTGAAATCAATAAGCTAATTAGAAATAAATCTAATATACCTCTGTTCCACTAAGGCAAAGCAGGCAAAGACTAACTTTCCTCCCTTCAAGAGATTGGATACTATGTCATAGGCTCTTTAAAGAAATGTAGGCAAAGGAAGCATAATCACTGCAAACATGGAAAGTGCAATTTGACCTGGGAAGTAAGCCAGGCACATGAAGAGGGTCAACACCAGGGAGACAATCATCAGGATCAGGAGAGAGAAATAGAAGGGTGATGGGAATTCTCAGACTTCTTTTCCTTCAAAAGATCACCCAAGAGGTTTATTTACAGCCATTTGCTCTTCTATAAAATCTTGAGAGAGAAAGACAGTCCTCTGTTATACATGATGCTGCAGAGTATATTCATGAGCATTGTAACATTCGTGGAAACAGCCCCATGAGTCAGATCCTTCTAATTTGAATCTGACAAATCAGAAAATTTTGATTTGATTTGACAGATGAGCAAACCTGTCAGTAGTTAGTTGAGCTAGTGTCTCAGCCCTTACCTTTAAGGTCAAGGAAAATAGTTAACTTATACTATAATATACAAACATGTACACATAAGGTGTGCACATGCATGTGTGCACACACGCACACATACATACACTTGCATCTTAAACTCTCCAGAAGCATCTTTTAGGGTGAAGAGTCACTGAGGAATGCTTTTTAGATAACAGAGAGTTTGGTAAAGACAATTAAAGGAATTTAAGTAGATAAAAGTCAACAAGTCCTTTATGCTTAAGGTAATTTTTAGCATTTCTGCATTTACCATTTTGATTTCATCTAAATAAATGTGATTTCTATACTCCACGCTGTTTGCTCACTTGCAATTTTGTTGTGTGAAGTGAGGCTTAAGCTCAGAAGCAAGTTGTTTAGTTCATAAGCATGCCCAGCTAACCTTGCAGTGTCAGCAGCTCAGAAGGCTTTATTGCTCCTTTTGATCACCCCGCTTTATAGGAGATATGATATGCTAGAAGCGCATTTACTAATCTGGAGATCTGAACAAATCTCTACATTTTACTGTAACTTATCTCCTTTCATCTCTTGCCCCTCAGTCTCCTTGGCTTCTTGCCCCAGATGGTAGGACTTGGGTTGAAGTTCTAGCTCAACCAATTTCTGACTCAGTTTACTGTCTCTGCTGTGAAGGCTAAGTTCTGTGCTGGAAATTGCAGTGTATGCCTTCAGAAAGACAGTGTGGTCTGATTGGGAATGAAATACAAACTAAAAGAACGATTAAGTTACATAATCTAAAATTTAAAGTGGTTTGCA